GTTTCGAAAGGTGGACGTATGACAGAACAGACGACCTCGAAACGAGGGTGTTATAATGGATGCGTATGCGAAGCTGCCTAATGCGAAGTATTGTAGGCTAAGTTGACAAGAATGAGGAAGGGTACGTGGCAGATACATCCTGGTGGGCGCAAGCCACATGACAGACCCGTCTTGGGTTACGAAGTGATCGAATATCTTGTGGTGACACAGCTACAGAAAAGCTCAAGGAGTCAGATGTTGACACTTGTTTGCGCCTACGAAACGACCTACAATAGGGTTGATTGTGTACGCAGGGACAGAGAATGGAGCTGCGAAGTGACATTCCTACAAAAAATATTCCATGGGCCAGACGACGAAGAGCTACGGGCTCTGTAACCGCCCAGAACTTGCTTTTGTTTGTTTACATCGAGCCTCCCAGTGCTTATTTAAACATCGTTTGGCGTCAAGTCTAACTTACTCAACAGACACGCGTCAAAATGGCCCATAGACGCGACAATCCCAATGACAGTCGCACAGGCATTCCTCCCCAACCTCAGCAATAAAGAACACCCAACAACAGCAACCAGCAACCTCCCTTCGTCACTCTGTTCTACCATCCCAATCAATCCAACCATCCTCTTTCTCTTCCCGTAGTGCAGGTCCCAGAAAAAGTAATTTCGGCTTACCGGGGATTGTCCAAACTCGCCCGCCTCCGGGCTCAAGTGCATCCACCCTTGGCCGATCCCACCTAGGCCCGCCGCCTCAAACCCTGACGGCCCCCTCGTCTTCCTTGTCCCAACGCATCGATTATGGGAAAACACCAATAAAATCTGATCTTGGTTCAAGTGCGATCAACTATTCTGCACTCGGTACTTCCAGCGTGCGTAAATCCAATGCACCTCAACAACCTCATCACTCCCTCCGACCCGCACGGGCAGGTATTCCATCGTCATCATCATCCGGCCATAAGGAAACCCGTCCTATTCGTGACAAATCCTATCAACTCATTGAACAACGAGAAATCCTCGATTATCTCATAAGCATCGAAATGAATCTTATCCTACCTACTCTGTCTCTCAAAACACTTCAAAGCCCTTCTACGAGAGAGTTTATTGAGATCTGGAAACGACTCGTCGAAGAGCTTGATCCCGATTATGTTTATCCCGTCGTGGAACCTGAAAAAGGGAGCAGAGCAGTATCTTCCTCGAGGGACAAAGAATCAGTCAGGACGATGCCTGAGGAATTTATCCAAGTGATGAAAGATTTGAGGTACCCGCTGATTGACACAATCAGTAAACAAAGTCTCCAAGCACCGAGTGCTCCGCATGCGTGGCAAAGTATTCTAGCATGTTTACATTGGATGGTTCAGCAAGCAAAAGTACGCGAAACAACTCTCTTCCCTCTATCACCCGAACGGTTTCTGATCAAATCAACAACATAGATCAAAGCCCGCTGGCTGTCTACCGACTCCCAGGATTTATACGTTCTCCCTTCTGAAGCGCTTACACTCAACCCGGAAGACGAACGAATGGCTAATGCTCCTGAGCTACGACATCTTATCGAATTCAGATTCTACGCTGAGACATATGATAAGTGGTGGGGGGATGAGGAGGCTGATTTTGAAGCTGAACAAATGCGGATGGTTGAGGAATACAGTGAGTTCCAGTTCTTGCCGTCTCCACGTTCCGTCCCATGGGTGTGATGTTTGTTCACATATCCCAGATCTTCGGACAGAAGGACAGGAAGAAGCGATTGAGCAAATGGACGCGCAAATTGACAAATTACGCACCCAACTTGAGAAACTCCGGAGCAAGGAGGTGCAGTATTTTGAATGGTTACGTGCCCAATTTTCGCGTCCTCACGTTTTGAATTAGCGTCCACTCCAGCTTGCGGAGACGGAGCGTGCTGAGATTATATCGCGCATCAAAACTTTCAAAAAAGGGATGGAAGATGCTCGCTCGAAACGCAAGAGAATCTCGGATGCTGTTGAGGATCTGGAGGAAAATATAGAAGAGACCAGTTGCGTTTTGCCCATCTTCAGTAGTGCTTCACCAACTGACCTTTTGACTCGACACCAACAAAATGACGCAGGAAAGGAGGTGAATTCTCTTCTCGCCGAACGTGCCGATCTCCACTCCCAGATCAAAGCTCAAAAGATGACCGAGGTCGAAATTTCTCAAATGTTCTCCGATGCTGAAACCTTGCAAAAACAAAACGCAACGTTAAACGAAAAACTTGCTCAAGCTAAACAGGCATTACATGAAAATGAAGTCACCCTTGCTAGACGTGTGGATAGTGTCGAGGAGGATATTGCTGTATATACAACACTCCTCGAAAAGGTGGGTCTTGTGGGAGGGGGAACGAGCACATCGAGAGGGAAGGATGCCGAGAATCGGAATGGAGTTGGTGGTTCGAACAACTCGTTGCCAAAGACCATTCAAAATGTTGAGTTCCGAATCGAGCTCAACATGGCTCGTGGAGATCCCTCCTCCAACTCCCCCTCTGAAGCAATGCTGGTCCCGGGCGCTTCTCCAGCAAATGCGATCGCTCCTGTCGTTGATCTAAGAAGGCTAATCAAACCTGCTCTAGGGGAATATAGGAAAGCTACGACGGCGGAGATGCAGAGGATCACGGGGGAGGTTATCGAAATTGAACACGAAATCGAGGAGGTCGAGGGAAAGATCGAGGACGTTAGGGAACGAATCGAGAGCTGTGAGGAGGAAAGGGCATTAACAATTGCGCAGATCGAGAGTATGAAGCAGGTGGGTTTTTTTTAGTCATTATTACCCCTTTGGGAAGCTGAAGGAGTGTCTGGCAGAAAATGGCGGATGAAGCGGAAAATGCTCGAGAGGCCAATAATCAGCTTGAGAAGGCGGCTCGGGATCTTGAGGATGAGCTCAGTCAAGGGACCGGTGCTGCGCTGGCGAAGCGGAAAAATCTTGAAATTGAGTATGTTCCCTCACCTCAGTATGCTGCCTTCCGGCTATACGTTTTCTAAGGTACGAAGCGCAAAGGGCCAATATACTCAAGGTCAAGGATGAAATAAAGTCGCGTATCATCGAAGCTTCATCGGTCTTATCCTCCGTCGTTGAAGACTGTGGAGCATTGCTCCAGGAGTTGGAGGTTGCAGCAGAGACATCCGATGCTCGGACTGCAAAGTTTAACCTTGCCCTCAATGGGTGAGATCCGGTTCTGAGCGCATCGAGGCAGCGCCCTCTTCGAACTGCAGTCAAATATCGTGCTCTCGGGAGATTATCATGCACAGCTAGTTCGTTAGTTTCTCCTTTGGGGTTCGTAGAGCTCTACGGACTGCATCCGACCGGCACTATTCATTTTTTTTTACTTGTGTGCAGATGGGCAAAGCGCGCAAATTATATCCCTTCTGCACGTTCATGATCAGTAACCGGTGCTTCCAACCATTCTGCTATCGTCATTGAGGCGTGACATAAAACTGAAATCTGCCACTGGCTGTCGGTGATGACATGCAATGGCCGTTTTAGTGCATGATCATCCATTGTGCTTTATGCTGAACGATATATATCCTTACATCGTGTACTCAGGTGCGAATAATTTGCAACACGGTCAAGTACCGAGTTTCTTTGTAACTCGTCACTGCTCTTATTCCAGGCCGTCAGGTTTGGTGGGCGCAGGTCGTCTGTCAAAAATGTTGCTCTGTTAGTAGTATTCGAGTTCGACGCCCCGTTACAGCTCTAATGCCCATTCTTTACCAAAAACCGCGATCCTTCAGACTCAACATCTTCGTGAAATTAATCTTCGATGAGACTCCTCAGGTGCAAGCTCTTGTATTGAACCGCAAGCCCACTTGTTCTTTGTAGGACTAGCTGGCATACCATTTTTACCGCATTAAATGGCTATGCATCGCAAGGCAACCGGCCTTTTCAGAGACGACTCGCCAATGAGGTGAGCGCTCAGCCAACAGACGGTAGCCGCATCCTAACACTCATAAGTCACAACGCAGATTATTAAACGTTTCAAGGGCAATTTCTCTCTGAAATACAATTTCGAGTCCCATACCACTGAAGCACATTGGAAAGAGCTAGACGAACGCATTCTTCGGGGTACATTTCATAGAGTTTAGCGCTCAAACAGAAATCTGGGACACCGAACTCCAGTTTGTATGCAGGGGAAGGATAGCTCGAAGTACTGCATGGCGTTCAATCAGGCTTTGGACTTCACCGGCGCAAATGCTGCCTGGCTTGCAAAGATTTAATCTCCAATTTCGTATCAGAACCAAAATACTTACATAATGCAATTATGTAAAAGAGCCCAGGGTCTCACGGTCTGAATTCAGTTTAGACTTGCAAAGGTGCTTATGCCATGGAGGGTGGAAGAAAACAGCACGCACGAGGGATCAACACGCGAACCGAAATGACTACAGAAAAACGTAATGTGATTTCGCACTGCGCCCACTGTCTAGACTTACAGCAAAAACCATTGTGGCCGTCTGCTATCAGATGAAGGACTTCCTGAGCCAATGTATAATCGCAATCATGCGGCTTGGCCAATAATATCCACAGCTGCACCTTTCGCATTACGGAATCTTCTCAAAAGTAATACGGACATCCGTATGGGGGACATGGCTAAAAAAGTCGTCAACCATCAGCTCGAGCATTGGGAAGAAGCGAAATCCAGAATCTGCAAGGAGAATATCTCCCTGGGAAATCCCTGTAATGTCGACCTGGACAAACTTGCCTTGAAAGAGCTTGGCGAGCATCCCAAGGCAGATCTTGAAGCCATCAGGGCTGCTCTACAGGAAGCTCGCTATGAGGGAGGTGAACAGTTATGGAATTGGTGTCGTCTTCCCTATACTGTCAGATGTCTTGGACTTGCGGAATGTCACTTTGGGCCTTCTGAACGTGGCAAGAAACGTGCAAGGACTGTCTCAGATGGGCATTTTGTTGCCGACGTTGATGAATGGTGAGTGTAGATTCCTCAATGTGCTATCATAAATACCGAATATCAATTCCCTTTCTCATGCTGGCTAGGATCCTGAAAAACGAGAGTTATCTTCGGATTCTATCTCGTCGCCACAACCTCAAGTTGATCCCGGCTGACGCCCCGCACGCTGTTTCATCATGGAAGTATGGCCTTGTGACTGTGGGGGATATCCAGTCCGTCATCCCTGACTGCACCATAATCAGTGATAAGAAAGGCGAAGCGCTGGAAATCAGACGCCGACCAGTCACTTCATTTCCTGGGTATACTGTCCTACATGCAAAGAGACATCAGAGCATCTTCCTCCAAACCTCCAAGGAAGGTTTCAAAAAGCGATGGGATGAGATGACCGATGGAATACTGACTGGACTGGATTGGTCAAATGTCTTCGTTGCTGGTGGGATGGTACTTTCCACTCTGCTCACTCCAGAGCTTCCGTCGAAGCTCTCCAGCTCTCCCGGAGCTAAAAAACCTAAGGATTCTGAGGATTCGGACATCGATCTTTACATCTATGGCCTCCCCCCTCAGGAAGCGAATGCAAAAATTGAACACATCGAGACAGTGTACAAGAAGAATTTGCCTCCAAATGCGCCGTTCTTCGTAGTTAGAAATTCTCAAACAATCACCTTCTACTCAGAGTATCCTCGTCGACGGGTCCAAATTGTCCTGAAACTTATCGGAAGTCCTCGGGAGGTCCTCCTTAACTTCGACCTTGATGTATGTGCAGCGGGATACGACGGTGCAGATGTATGGTTGTTGCCACGGTGCGTACGCGCACTCGAAACCGGTTTAATTGTGTTCACAGTAAGCATATTCAATATCGCCGCAACCTGGTTCTGTGTTCATCTCTTTGGCCAGATGGACCTCATCGATGGACACTATCTTGGTGATCGAAAGGCTACGCGCGATCAGCGGCAAGTTCCAAGTCCCACTTACAAAGAGAAAAACTTCGGCTGACGTCGATGAATGATCCTTCAAGTGTGTTCAAATATGCCAACAAGGGCTACGGAATCTGCATTCTTCCATCTTACCTGGATTTTCTTGCTGTGTACAATGATCCCGAAGCCCTTACAGATATTTCTCGGGGCGAAGATCTCATAGAGAACTTCTCTATCGACTCCGCTGCCAAGGACGCTCGTGACTGGACCTCAACAGTAATTAAACGCTATCTCTTTGTGGGACATGGGAATAAGCCCTTCCACGTTGGTGTTCCTCATCTGAACACCGACTTGACCAAGCCGATTCAATCACCTGATGGCAAACCTGTCTTCTCGCATGCAATGCTGGAAAGTTATGGCCAGATAACCAGCGAGCCTCTCTGGCGAAGTTGCTTGACAGATTTTTCCCTCTTCATGAGGCATGTTGCCCTCTGGGAAGCTGAGGTCGCTGGCGAGATTCAGTATGTTTCAGAGCACTTTCCCTGAATAAGCCTTGACTTGATCCAGTATATTTGAAGATTTATTTGCTTCCGACGCCTATGGTGAAGGCAGTCGATCGTTTATTTCCTATGATGACACACCAGCGTAAGTTCAGCGCGATACTACGGAGGCCGCATGCCTATACTCATCCGACGATACGGCCAGATATAAGTGGGATGCCGAGTTCAGTATCCCCGAGTTCAAAAGGGCCATCGAGAAGTTCAACTCTCGTGAATCGGACTTCAGTGACAATTGGCGTACTTTCGCAAAGGGCCAAAGCTTTGGTCGGCTTCCAAGAGACGTCGTCGCTCGAGTCACTTATGGCGACTCCGTTCTGGAAGTGATGAGTCCCGGCAAGGACATTCGTATCCCCTTGGTGATGACAACCAGTGTAGTGGGCTGGGCGAACGAGATTATTGAGACGGCACTCCAAGAATGTGGTATGAAGTTCGGAAGTGAACAACCTTTGGTGGCTTTTGGCCCGAGTGAGGACGAAGACTATGAGGATTCTCGTGATGAGACTGTCGCTCTCTGGCGTTTGGATAAAACCACAAACTGGCAAATGCTTGACCGCCGCATCGATGAGTGCGTCCATCCCCATTGCCTCCTCAACCCCATGTGGTTGTGCGCCCGTTATTGACGCCCTGATTCAGGGTCCGCGAAGTTCTCTGGGCCTTCCATCGCGCAAACGAAAGAATGATCGCGGAGCATGAACGTCGGCTCAAATACTTCAAAACGAACATCTCTCGCCGCGCAATCCGCGATTCCATAGAGGATGAAGCGGCAGCATTTGTTCGATGGGTGGGCCGAAAGCCGTTCGAACAAGATACGAAAATCAATGCCCACTATTGGCTTGCTGATTATGAGGTGGGAGAGGATGAGGATTTGGATAAGTGAACCTTCTTGGTGGGGTAATACTCTTGACTTGGTGGTTTTCATGTTAGCACTGGAGGAATCTGTGTCACGTAATTTTAATTTCATGATCAACTCCTTGGCGCTCGGAGGCGCCTGCTTGATCCCACAGAAATGCGTGTATGTGCGTCGAACAGCAAGACCCTTGTGACGACGGCCCTGTGCATGTGGTCATAGCATATTCAAGTGCAAGGCCCCAACCCGACCAACCCAGTCCCAACCTACAAGGCGCCGGCAAGTGTAGCTGATTATATCTATGTAAATTCAGACCTTTCAGTGCCCTTGAACCTTTCCCCTCCCCGAGTAGGCGGCTCGACAGACAGCGAACAACCCCCAGTCAACTCCTTGTCTGCATCGCGTAGTCGTCTATAAAAGCTTATGGCATGCTCGCGCGGGTGGCAATATTCAGTTCGTACATGGTACTCAATCGGCTTACAGTTCAGCTGACTGGTCTTCACCAGTAGGATCGTTTGTGACCAATTATTTACAAATGTAGCATGCTGTCCGACAGTGCCGCCCACGACCTTCCATAATTGTACAGATGCCTCGTGGTTCTGGACATCTGAAGGGGCTCACGTGTGTTGCGTGCCTGTGGCGCCCTCTCCTCCATCGGTTTTTCCGTTATCGACTATGTCATTGCGGGAAAGGGCTGCAGCTCTCAGGAGAACGATTGATCGTCTCCTCGCAACAGGGGGCGACATAGCAGTCCCCATTCTCACGGCCGTCAACGCGGCCGCTGATGTGTGTCCTCCTCTAAAGAGCGCGACTAGTGGTGCGCTCTTCATCTTCGGTGAAGTCAAGGTTGGCGTCAATCTGTGCTTGGTCGCAAACGAACGCTCACCCCGGTTTGCGTCACTTAGAAGTTTAAGGAGAATAAAAGGGAATGGGCCGACTTTGGTAAATATGTGGTCGACACAGTGGCTGAGGTAGTTGCAGCCATAAAGTCCTTTGATGAGTCAGCGGAAGAGGCAAAGTCATGGGTGGAGAGTGCTACAAAGCTCGATGGGTAAGTTATATTTGTTTTTAGTGATCTTATCGTACTTACACGAAGTCCTAGCACGCTGCAGGAGATCAAGTCCAAAATCGACCAAAAACTCGCAAAAGTAGAGAAACGATTGGCTTTCAGAAACACATTTTCCCACTTCAGAGACTCCGGAAGGATCGATGGCCTAAAGAAAGATCTTGACAAAGCATTGGCAGCGTTTCAGGTAGCTCTCCTCATGGTGTTGTACCATAATCATTCTGATCCTGACCGATGCAGCTTAGGACGAACTTAAGAATTAGTCTCAGATTATCCACCATAGAAGATGGTCGAGATACTCTGCAGGGCGACTCGATTCTTGGTAGACTCCGATACCCTGATGTCGCTCACTATGACTCAACCCAGGCATGCTTAAAAGGTACTAGGGTTGATCTCACGGAACATATTATGGCTTGGTGTTGTAGCACTGGAGACAGCCAGAACCGGTTGATGCTGATGACCGCTGTGGCCGGCGCCGGAAAAACTTCAATTGCGCACACGATTGCAGAGAATTGTAAAAGGGAGGCTACCCTGTTACTAGCCTTTTTCTTCAAGGCAGGCGAACAATCGCGGCCCGATTGTTTATTCAGTGGCATTGCTCAAGCTCTGGCCAACCGTGACCCGGATCATCGCAACTTCATTGTCTCTGCCCTTCGAAAAGACCCTACTCTCTCAACAGCCCCATTCACGATGCAGTTCAAGGAATTAGTGGCTTCGCCTCTCCTCCATAAACCCCCGCCTTCCTACCCTCCAATGGTGGTCATCATTGACGCTTTAGACGAGTGTGACAAAGAAGCATTTGAGCCTCTTGCTAACATCTTGCGCGAGGAAGTGCCGAGATTACCGTCCTCCATAAAATTCTTTGTTACATCAAGACAATTTGATCTTGTTAATCGCTTCCTCTCGGCTCATTGTCCTATTGATCGCCTTACCATCAATCTCTCGGATGAGACAAACGTGCAGGACTGCGCTACGTACATACGTTCCCAGCTGCAGATGCTGAAGAATTTTCATCCCGATGTACGGCATAAACTTCAAGACGAGGGGAAAATAGTACAGAAGATCTTGGAGCGAGCGGGTGGCTTGTTTGTTTGGATCAGCACCATCTTTAGCTACATGAAGATGGCTAACAAGGACCCTATGAAGATATTAGAGACACTGCTTGACACAGGCACCAAACGGCCAGCCATTTCTGCTGAAGGAATGATGGATCGCTTGTATACAAGCATTCTGAAAAAGTGTGATTGGGAGGATGAAGATTTTGCGCATGACTATCCACTTGTCATGGGAGCAATCTTCGTGGCGCAACAACCTCTGTCTGTCTCAGCTTGGGATACGATTTTGTCGCCTTTCCTCAAGTCTTCCATTCAATACACGTTAGCCGAACTTGCACCACTCCTCTCAGGAGTTGAGGATTGTCGCGTTCCGATTCGCATCTTGCACCAATCCTTCCGGGACTTTATCGTGGATCGGATCGATCCCCAATCAATTAGCCTTCGTTGCGGCCCAGTAGACACGACGATGGAGAATGCCAAGGTTGCCCTGCGATGCGCCGAGATCTTGAACCAGGATCTTTGCTCTGTAGAGAATCTAGGACTCATTAAAAACTTGTCCGAACAAGATGAACTGCCACGTATTCCTCCAGCGAATTTATCTGAGCACTTTCATTACGCATGTCGTCACCTTAGTTATCACCTCAGTGAAGTCCAGGAACCGCCGCAGGCGCTGCAGGGCTCAATCTGTGTGTTTTTCAGTCAGCATGCAACTCGTTGGGTAGAAGTTTGTGTGAGAATGGAAGGCTACATTAGTATCTCAGTTCTCCTGGAGTGGCATAAGGTATGGATTATCAATTGTGCTATCAATGAAACCAGCTCATAATTTTTAGTGGGTTGTTGACCAAAGGTCAAAAGGTGCTATCAATGCGCTGGCCAATGTGCTTACTCAGCTCCAACCGAATTTGGAATTTTCTTCAAGGTTCCAAGAGGCATATGAGGCAGCAAACGATTCCGTAGCACTCTGCCGTCACCTTGTTGCCGTGGATTCAGGATCTTACATGCCGGATTTGGCCAATTCACTCAATAATATATGTAACGCTCTTTGCAAACTCGGACGTCACCCCGAGGCACTCCCATTCATCGAAGAAGGCGTCAAACTCTACCGCCAGTTAGTTGCCGTCCACTCAGGATGGTATACTCCAGATTTGGCCAGATCACTCAACAGCCTATATTTAGTTCTTTCCGATCTCGGACGGCACTCCGAAGCGCTTCCATTCATCGAAGAAAGCGTCAAAATCTTGCGTCGGCTAGTTGCCATTCATCCTGGATCATACAATCCCAATTTGGCTTTGTCACTCAACAATCTATGTAGGGCTCTTTCCAGTCTCAAACGACACAAGGAGGCGCTCTCATTCATTGAGGAAAGCATCAAACTCCAGCGACAGCTCGTTGCCGCCCACCCGGAATCACACACCCCAGATTTGGCTATGTCACTGAATAATCTGCTTGGCGCTCTTTCCAGCCTCGGACGACACTCGGAGGCGCTCCCATTCATCGAAGAAAGCGTCAGACTCTACCGTCAGCTAGTTGCCATTCACATACCCCCGATTTGGCCATGTCACTCAACAATCTGTATTTAGCACTTTCCAATCTCGGGCGCCACTCTGAGGCGCTCCCATTCATTGAAGAATGCGTCAAGATCCGACGCCAGCTAGTAGCCGTTCTTCCAGGATCATACACACCAAAGTTGGCCTTGTCCCTCAGCAATCTATATAGTGCGCTTTCCAAACTCGGGCGGCACTCTGAGGCGCTCCTATCCATCGAAGAAAGTGTTAAAATCCTGCGCCAGCTAATTGCTGTCCATCCAGGATCGTACAATGCAAATTTGGCCTTGTCACTCAACAATCTATGCAGGGCTCTTTCCAGACTCGGACGGCACTCGGAGGCGCTCCCATTCATCGAAGAAAGTGTCGAACTCTACCGCCAGCTAGTTGCGGTTCACCCAAGATCATATACACCTGATTTGGCCATGTCACTCAACAATTTGTATTTAGCACTTTCTAATCTCGGACGGCACTGTGAGGCGCTCCCATTCATCGAAGAAAGCGTCGAAATCCGGCGCGAACTAGTCGTCATTCACCCAGCGTCATACAGACCAAAATTGGCTCTATCCCTGAGCAATCTATACAGCGCTCTTTCTGAACTGGGGCGGCACCATGAGGCGCTCCCATTCATTGAAGAAAGCGTCAAAATTCGGCGCCAGCTTGCCGCCGTTCATCCAGGATCATACACCCCAGATGTGGCCAGATCGCTCAACATTTTGTATTTAGCTCATTACGCTCTCCAACAGCACTCCGAGGCGCTCCCATTCATCAAAGAGGGCGTCACACTTTACCGGCAGCTGGCAGCCGCTCACCCAGGATCATACGCCTCGGACTTGGCCAGATCACTCAACATTCTATATCTAGCTCATTCCGATCTCAGACGGTACTCCGAGGCGCTCCCATTCATCGAGGAAAGCGTCAAACTATACCGCAAACTACTTTCTGTTCACCCAGGGTCATACGCCCCATATCTGGCTTTGTCACTCAACAATCTACGTGATGCTCTTTCCAATCTTGGACAACACTCAGAGGCGCTCCCATTTATCGAGGAAAGCGTCAAGCTCTACCGCCAGCTGGTTGTCGTTCACCCAGAATCGTACACCCCAGGTTTGGCTTTGTCACTCAACAATCTATACGACGCTCTTTCCAAACTTGGACGGCACTCCGAGGCTCTCCCATTCATTGAGGAGAGCCTCAAAATCCGACAGCAGCTAGTTGCCATTCACCCAAGATCATACACTTCACATTTGGCTTTGTCGCTCAACAATTTATATTATGCTCTTTCCAATCTCGAACGGCACTCCGAGGCGCTTCCATTCATCGAGGAAAGTGTTAAACTTTACCGCCAACTAGTTGCCGTTCACCCAGGATCGCACACCCCAGATCTAGCCACATCACTCAATAATCTGCACTTCGCTCTCTCTGAACTTGGGCGGCACTCCGAAGCGCTCCAGTTCATAGAAGAGAGCGTCCAACTCTACCACCAGCTAGCCGCGGTTCATCCCGCATTATACACCCCGGATTTGACCGATTCACTCGAAACCCTACGTGACGCTCTCTCCAATATCGGTCATCATCCTGAGGTGCAAATGATCCGTATTTAAGTGACCCAGTCCTGCCTGACACCTTGGGTCTTCCCATATCGTTGAGTTTCCCTGTTTGGTACCCGCGAGGGTGCGCATACACACACGTACACAGCATGTAAAATGTTCTTGAACTTCGTGTGCGTTACCTATAACGCAAGTAAACTGCCTCACTCTATGCTTCGTGGAAATATGCGTTCCGCTCATGTTTCCCTTCCTTTCCTGACGTGCATAACCCGCCATCGTATCGTTAAAGGGTGTCTAGAGTACACGCGGCGTCCGGTTGGGTGTTTAGCACCTCTGGCCACTATGCAGCATCGCTCCCGTTGCGCACAGGGAGGTAATCTTCAACGGCTAGTGGGCTGCCCGATTGGCCCCCCTTCATCCAGGAGTTCGGTCCTCAAACTTAGGTCATTACAACTCGAGGGATGGAGTGGTCTTGTGGGTATCGGCGACTGCAGGAAGAGATGGTAAAGAGTGAATGGATGGCGGTCGGAGAGCTGGCAAGATGGAGGATACATCCCACGGCCTTGTACTGATCGATTGTGTACAGTGTAACCCATTGAACGCTCCGTCATATGCCGACGGTGTCCTAAAATGACACACACACACCCTTACGAGCTCCGTACGTGCCAACGCACGTTTCATGGCTGCACGCTGTTGCTGCACATATGCCGACGGACGGACGCGCGTCGAGTTGAAGTCCTTATTAGAATAAAGACTATGTCGCGTTAGACTGCGACAAGAGTTATACAAGAGTTATAAAGTAAAATACTGAGAAATAGTTCTCACCTCAGACTCGAATAAGAGTTCTGAGGGAGAAAAGTCTAAGAATTCCTCCCCGACATTCCTGAGTGGCAACGTCGTCGTACAAAGGGAGTTTTAAGTTGAATGAGAAAGGGCAAAACGCCCCCAACGCCTCATAGCGCCCCAGAATAACCGCTACGAATAACCGCCACACAACTTCCCGATGTAAACAAAGTTGGTGTTCCAATAGTCCTGCACGTAGGTGAGATTGTGTTCGCTGGTTGATGCAACTATGGGTTGACTGGTTCAAGATCAATGGCGATACGCAGCAGTGGATGAAATATGCACGTACCATTAGAGTGAGTCGTTGACACCTGCGGGTTGAGCAGCTTAGCCTAAGGTCAGAACTGCATAAGCAAACCAGTCATGGGCACAGTGGCATTGCCAGAGTCCACTGACTGGCTCAGGGCACATGGCATAACGTGCCCACAATTGGCTGTCAGCTTGTCCGAGCGACGGTATCGGTGAGCCTTTACTCAAGGCTTTCTTTTCTGGGGAAAAATTCAAGAGCTCCCATACTCGGGCATCTTGTCGCACCATTGCATCGGAGGGTCTGGCATGGCTCGGGTGGGGCTTGGTTGCTAGTGATAAAAGATCCGCTGCGCGCGAGGCCATCTTTTGAGTATTGTGGATCCCGAATATATACGAAGTCCGCAGCGACGCAAATTCGGTTACCACTCGGCCCTGGCGGACTTCCAGTCTGAGCTTCCCCTCTTCCAGGGCTCGGGCATATCAATTGGTACTTTCATCGCACAGCGGAAGATTCATTCTCAGTTGTGACATCGATAACATTGGTTAACCAAATGTTTTCTGAACTAGCTGGTTGAGTCAGTTGAGAAGCGGTATCGCATTGTACGATCAAACCGGAAGCAGGGAGTAGGAAAGAAGTTAAGGGGAGAAAAATCACCCCCCTGTGATAAACTATTCGGACAAACAAGTCGGGGGGAAGGGTAATGAACGATGGCCAAAACCTCGGGCCAAGGTAAGAAAATAGAAAGCGAGATCAACGGTTTTCACCAATTTACTCCGTTTGAGCTGATTTGGTCTCGGCTGCACATGCACCGAGGTCGCCTTCACCGACCGCAAAACCTGCTTCCCTCAGAACCCTCCTCCCAACCCTCTCCAAGATCTTCACGGCCTTTCGGATGTGAACCTCTGTCGTTCTCTCTGCTCCAATAGCCATTCTCAAACAAACCTTTCCTTTTAATTCGGTTCGTGTGATGAAAAGGGCGTCTTCCAAGCTAGAGTCGGGGGATTTCTACTGGAAACACTCGGGTCGCTGCCGGGGATAAAAGAAGAAGCTAAAGGGGGAGGTGTTGGAGGATGAGTGAGGTTTTGGTGAAGTGTAATGTTAAGCGCGTTCAAAGTTTCCTGACTTAGAGCATTGTGCGACTCAGGAGGGGAAGGGCGAGGAGGAATGAGCCGGAACACGACCAAAGCTAGTGCTCTGGGTGTTACCATTTCGAACATGTTCTCCCTCTTCATTTTCCACTCACAAACCGCTTCCACCGCCTCCTCACCCTTAAGCAACCTTTCAAACAGTTCCGCCAATCCAACTCCCTTCCTAATATGTGCCCTAAACCCCTTCACTCCAAAATTCCTTAACACAAACCACAACTTGATACTTCTGAACCGTCTCCCTAGAGAAAGTTGCCAGTTCCTATAATCCACGACAAGCCCGGCGTCTGATTGGGTTGTGCGCAGGAAAGATGGAGTTGAGGACCCGATGTCCATGGAGGCTGTCAGAGCTGCACGATCGCGGACCCAGAGGATCGAGCAGTCCTACCGTTGAAAAATATAAGAATCGAGTGAGAGTGAGGGAAAAAAGTGCGAGGTGAGACCGGAGTGTCACGTACAAAGTTCACCAAGCCCCACTTGTGGAAATTCGTACAAAATGAATCCGCGTACTTATTTATAGCGTCCAGTTTCCCTTTCCTTCTGAATTCGGGACAAGAAAACGAGACTCCGGCCCAGGCGGCGTCGATGTGAAACCAGACGCTATCAAGTTGGGAGACTGTATTTACCATGACCAGGCGAGACATTTGATGAGAGTAAAGGCAAAAAATGAAAATGAAGTACTTAACTGATGGGGCCTATCTCATCGATATGATCATTCGCTCCAGAGGATGTCGTCCCAATCGTCCCGACTGAAGAAAACCAATTCACCACGTACCTCGACTTCAATAAAATCCAAGAGCCACTTACTAAAGATAAAAGGCCACAAACCCTTGTTCCTGTCCTCGTCATAAGCGTTCTTGAACGCAAGCCCCTTAACACCCCATTCACACCCTTCATCAACGTCTAGCTCTCGATAGTTTAGGCCCAGTAACTTGGCGCCTTTTAGGCCGAGCGAGTGAGTTTGGGTCGAGAGGTATATGATAAGGGATTCGTGTGATGGTGGGGGAAGGGAGGAATGGGATGAGAAATAAGAGAGGAAATGGTGTCTGGCTGCGATTATTGCCACAAGGACACTTTCGGAGGCTGTTGATTGGATGGAGCCCCCACCTCCAAGTAGGGGTTGCGATGTGCCGCTGCTTTCGACAGGTGTGAGAGGGGGAGAAGCACTGGGCGAGGAGGCCGTGGTTGAGGGAGGCTGGTCATGGACCGGTGCAGGAGGGGAGTTGAGGAAAGCTGGGGAGAGGCTAAGCAGATTTGCGACCCAGTCCACAACAACTTGCTCAAGTTCGGTGCATGCTGGAGAGCAGATCCACTAATGGCCGGTAAGTGGGAGGAACATTAAAAGAGGAAGATACCCTAAAGCAGAGACGTGCGCACGTTGAAGCCAGGGTTGGAAACTGAAGTGGAGTATAAGTCTGCGAGGATTCCTGCGAGTGAACTACCACTTGGGAACTGAACGGTACAAAACGTTAGTCGGCGATGCTGCGAAGGGGGCGAGAGGAGCGAGAAGGCCGGCAACCAGGAACCAAGGTAGTCGATGCAGTCAATGGCCCCTGGCAACGGTCCCCTGGCCAGTAAATTCCAAACTAAAACTTACAAAGGCAAAAAACTCAGGATGATTCCAATGGGTGATTCCAGGCATGATCAATCTTTGAAAATCGGCTGTGATCTCCTGAATATCTTCCCCTTCTTGAGGAGGATGTGTAGATAATTTGTTGATTAAGTATCCTGGCTCCACTTGGGCCAGGACGGGACGCGATTCGAGAGTATTATAGTAGTCGCATATGCGATCTATTGCTTCATAACCTGCTTTGCGGAACCTGGATGAGAGGAAGGATGAATAAGACCCTAGACGGAAGCGAGGGACACAATGAGAAAGAAGGTGCTCACGCTTCAATGTCCATCGGGTAGTTATACTTTGTCAAGACGTTGCGTTAACACCCTTCTAGTTCTTCTCTCTCTCCAGTCGCACACTTTTCTGCGGTTCTCGCAGCAAGGAAATAGCGGCGTCAGGCAGTTCCCGAGTGCCATGCAGGCTTTAAATCCACGGGGACATGTTGCAGTAATGGGCATGACGTTAATATCCCGGTAACGGCGCCTCAATATCCGAGGTCAATGGTTGATTGTCTGGTTTCTGGGGAAATATTATTGGTATTCTCATCGCAGTTAAAAGCAAATTGTTGCTGACGATGTTGTCGGCCAAATGACTGTGGTCCACGCCATTAACTGGCACTTCACATCATCGCATGTCCCCAAAATACAGCTGGATTCTAGATACACACAGCAAGCGCACACGCCAGCCTCGGCTACGACCACGGACATCGCCCTGGCACCAATGTGATTCAGCACTATACGCTTGCGGCCACTCTGAACCCTGTGGCAAAATATATCGGCGGCCTTCCTGATTATCTAACGGTGCTGTCACATGGCCTTCAAACGCGTTTCGCATAATGAAGAGTTTACTTACGTGAACATACAGTTCCTTGCAGTTTCCTCTCAAAGTGCAGCAGGGACCTTATCATCATACACCAGGGACCCTTGGTGTTCTCAGGGTTCCGAGGGAGCTACAAGTTGTACCGTCCTCGCCACCTTATCGGGGGAATGTCCCGTTCTTCATTGACGCTGTGACTTGTCGGCACCTTCATAACGGAACGGAGCACACTCAGGAATCTCCTGTGCTCCAATTCCAACAGAATGATTGTTCAACAGGTTCCACTCCAAGATTTTGCCCAGAAATTATACCAGACACAGATGTTTCCCAACCGGAATTTGAGGTCATGTCTGGAATTCACATAGTCATCAATAAGGTGCTCCACATCACAATGAAGAAACAGCCCACATTTAGAGTCGAGTAGTGAAGCGAATACCGGGAACAACCCTCAATTAATCATCCGACGAATCCAACAGAATTTCTCACAACCGATAACGCGGAGGCAATACAATGCCGAGTCCGGAATCTGGTCAAAGGAATCCGTTTCATGGCTAGACGAGAAATTTTCACTGTTGTTATCTTGAGAGCAGTGCCAGCCGGAAACTTGAGAGAAAAATCATGCTTTGGGTACGTGCCTCCCCAATGCAAGCAGCACTTGGCTGAATACTATTGTTGCCCAATATCCATTTTTCGGGACAGCCGGCCGCGCAATCCTTAGCACAAAAAGTGCTTCACACAAACCCATCTCTATAACTGGGACTGGGCAACTCAGGTTGTGTCCGTGTACCGCTTATGTAATCAGATTTGGGCAAAACATGGCCTCGCAAATGTTCCATCGATAACTCGTGAAACTGTATTCCAAGTCCCAACAAAAACCTAGAGAGTGTGAATATACAATGTAAAGTATGTACTGAGCGCTCAATCAGAAAAATCCACGCATTATAAAATGAGCATGTAAACAGACCAGTTATGGTACCTCAGATAGCAGATCCTGGCGACTCTACAGATCGTGCATTATAGCGTTTTACAATATCTTGGAGTAGTGCCTTCCGGGGCCCAACTCGTACCTTATTGACTGCTGTTCAATTAGGAATAAAGGTGTCCTTAGGGGCCAGCCAACGAGCTTGTTGATCTGTTCAATTAGCTTTTCCCCCGTCATTGCAGCAATCACTGTAGCACCCAACTGGAGTATAGTACACTCTAGTTTCTCCTCCTCCACTCTCTTCTTCTCATCTCGTGCCTTCTGGGCTTCACGGCTGGCAGCGGCTTTTGCTGCCTCAACTTTGTCCATAGTTTCCTCTCAAGATTCTGTGTGTTCTCGATGCCGAGCTTCCTTCCTGAGGAATGGATGATGGGCTTCACTGAAATTTTCCCTTATGAAGCCCTCAGTGTTGTTACAGCTATACATCGCCAATGAATTAAATGGGCAGTTGATTTTGATTGTTTTGTATGCAACGAATTTTCCGTAATACTAATACCAATCGCTGAAAATGTAAAAGGGTATAAGGAGCATGGTAGGAAGTTGTTCTAAAGTCAGAAGAGCATCAATTGAGCTGAGTGTGCCCCAGGCATCTCCAGAATGCGCTATTGAGTGCGACGACGTACACACAAATAAATAAATGATCACCCAACAATTTCAGGCTCGTCACACAGCAGCTAAGCATGTAGAAATTCTCCTGGATGTGTAGAGGGTCTTTTTCTATAATTCGGACTGTTGGATTTTTATAAAACGCGCTGGTTGTCGAGAACGGTTGCAGAGCCATGAGAACTCATTTTTTTTACAATTCCTCAGTCCAATTATCAGCTTTTACAATTCCAAGTAACTTTTGATTCAACTTTTTGTTGCATGAGACATTTGTGATGAGTTATAAAACTATACTTCCACAGGCTGCTCTGCGGCCAGTCTAGCTTACATAAGCAGTCCCGTGGGCAAGCTTCGCTTGCCCACCCCCACTATAACAACTCGCGCCCCCAACCACCACGTGACAACAAGGAGGGAGGCTGGAGAAAAAGGGCTGGCATCGACTCGGGCAGGTGCCATCGATTCCACAAGCGGCGATTACAAGATCATGATCATCGTCTTCAACGCCAAAATCATGCCCTCATTTTTGTATAACACACAGCTCACGGATTGTGGCCAGATTTCTAAACAAGGTGTATGCGCTGCGAGGTCCGCTCAGTACTCATTGGGATTGTTGTGCCTCGCACGCATTGTGCGCACATCCCGCAGAGGCCAAAAACGCGGCGGTGATGAGTACCGTGCTGCTACGACCAAATCGCCCCATCACTGCACTGACTTGGTAGCTCCGAACACTTGTGTTTGGTATTCCAGTTCGCAGCAAATTGATAACGGAACACATCGCACGATTCAAACCGGATTGGTGCAAATTCCTCCAGCCAAGGCGTTGGTTCGCTTTTACGACACCAGGGTGGCCAGAGGATCGTATTTGGAACCGCAATCGGATTGGGGGACGACTGTGCGCCCTATCAGAGGACCGTTGGGGGAAGGGTAGTGGCAACAGTGAAGCTGACGACATGATGTTTTCCTCGACCAAGAACCTGCCCCAATCGAACTGTCGCAACCGTGTATTGGTCCAGACTCGTACCCAGTCGGAGGAGCTCCGTGGACGCGCAAAATAATAGCTTTTTTACGCAATGTAAATAAATGTTCTCACACTAGACCTGCTTCCGATTAAAGTCACGTTCTGTACTCAATACAACAGATCACATGGTACGGAGTTAAACACATAGCCGATCACCTACTCCGAAACTTGCCCGCGACACTTCGCTCCTCCGACTGGGGCAAATTGTAGATGGCTGTGCTACGGCACTTTCCGTCCCAAATTTTCCCGCGCTAATCTGTGGCCCGATTAGGCATCCAACGCCAACATCTCCGCCCTCCATGTCCGCCTCCGCTTCACTTGATCCTATCCCATCTGAACCTTCCATGTCCATCTCATCTGAGCCCTCCACCACAATAAAGCCTATGCCTACAGCTGAGCAGATCAGGGCCCTGAGTGAAAAAATGTGGTCAAGACGTGCCTGCTGGTTCCAAGCTGAAATTGTGGAACATCTTCTTCGATTTCCCGAACGTAATCTCGTCGCTACTGCAGCAACTGGTACTGGAAAAACATATACATTTTTCCTTCCGGCACTCTATGAACAATCTGGTGTTACCTTCATTATCGTCCCTCTAAAAAAACTGGCTCACCAACACCGCGAGAGTGCCGTCAAGTTAGGTTTGAGTGCGATGACTTTGGAAGCTGAAACCATCAGTAAAGAAGTAATAAATGTATGTTTCTCTTACTCCACACACACCGATAGGCTAATTTCTATGCAGGAGATAGCAGAAATCAAATATAAATATGTTATCCTTGGACCGGATTTGCTGACCAGCGAACTCATGAGGCTACTTTGGCGGAATACAAAATTTGTTTCCCAAATCAACCGAATCATCGTTGATGAGACACACTGCGTTACGCAATGGTTATCCTTCCGTTCTAAGTATCAAGACCTTCGCTCAGTATATGCGCACCTTCGATGCCGATGCCAATGGTATCTTACATCCGCAACCCTCGACACACATACTTGCAGCAAAGTACTTTCTACAATTAATATGGATCCATATCATAATAAAGAGGGTGGGACTTACACAAAGTGGATCCGCCGCTCGAATGACCGTCCGAACCTACATTACTGTGTATGGCCGATGGAATACAGTAGACAATCTTGCAAAGATTTGGCGTTCCTTGTACCATTGGGACTCAAAGAATCCGACCCTATACTGGAGCCGTTCTTCGTTTACTGCAACTCTCGAAACGATGCAGAACGGTGCGCTACTTACCTGCAGTCTCGAGTGGAAGGATCATTGAAGAGGAGAATAATTTGGGTACATTCCGGAATGTCAGATAAACACAAACAGAAAGCAGTAGAAACGTTCAGAAATGGAGAACTTATCGGAATTACTGCAACAGAAACCTTGGGTTTGGTAAGTGTGATGCTTCGCGCATGATGATTGCAAACTCACTAGTGAGTTTAAAACAAAGGGTTTCGACCTACCAAATATCACAAGACTGGTTCAATTTGGCCCACCCGATAATCTGAGTACGCTTGCTCAGCGCTTTGGTCGTGCAGCAAGGGATCCAGATACAACAGGCATTGTGATCCTTCTTGCACCACGGGATTACTTTGAGGAAACCCGTCGCAAGCGAGAACAGAGGGCAAAGAAGGCCACCGAACGGAAGAAGCGCAAAGCCCCTACTCAGAAAACCACAAGTACCAATGAGCGGCCAAGGAAGCGAATAGGGGGACTGCAGCAGTCTCTTACCAACGTTGCAGATGCCCACGAAGTACCCCCTTCAAACGAGGAATTTAATGACTATCTGCTTGATCTTCATCAAGCGGATCCTACACTGGCGCTGCGAGAAGATGTTTGGCCATCAAGTGACATTGATCAGCTGGATACGGTTCATGAGGGGGATTGCGATTTGGATGCGTCCAATTCATCAGAGGGTGAAATATGGGATGAGTTCCCAGATATCGCTTTTGATGAGGTCTGTAACGCAATGGAGGAATTTGATAGTGATCGGTTAGAGTCCTCAGATGGGGTTGTCGGTGAGTCTTTCCCATGACAATGATGTTTGTTGCGCAGACTTACACTCGAGTACCAGATCCCAAAGACTATATGACAACTAACAACATTGATGGGATCATGGGTGGTGAGGCGGTGGGAGAGTTGCAGTCTGCTGAGACGCTGTTGGGCCTTGGAGATGGTGGCAACTGTGCATCCTTACGGAAAAAAACGAGAACAATGAGGCCAAAGAAGGCACCGGCAGGCCGCGAGAACATCGACCCAGGTCTTGATGCATTTATCAATGCAGACCTACTGCCCGAGGGCGACCCTAGAAGAGGTTGTCGTAGGTTAGTACTTGATTTGTATTTCGGGAATAACCAGACAAGTGAGTTTGAATTACCTTTCCACCTGATCCGCCCTGATCCACCCGCTAGAAATGCCACGCACCTGTTGCAAACGGTGTGATCTGCGCAAACCAACAACTTGTTGCGACCTACATACTCCCGGATACACGTCAGGGATGTTTGATGCCATAGTTGAACCACCGTCCAGTAAATGGAACCCACAGCGGGTCGGACCCAAGTCGAAATATGAGAAGGACGAGGCAAGGTCAGCTGCTCTTGACAAAGCGCTTTATGAGTGGAGGAAGGAAGAATTTGCCCGCACTTACCCTGACCGCCGTGACAATATGTGGGTGGGAGACTGGCTTGTCCTCTCTGATGATGTCATCGACGACATCATCTATCTTGCGCATGGGAACAAGTTAACATGTCGCAAAAAGTTCATTCAGCTCGTGGATTGGGTAAATCGTGAACGCTACGCTTCGGACTTACTCAGCATTGTGCACAACATATTCCCCCCCCCACCTGAGCTACCTGCTGTCGCTCCAAATGCATCCCGAGCTGCAGAAAGTTCTCGAGCCATCACATGCTCGAACTGTCGATCCCAGGGTCACAATGGTACGTTTTTCTGTAATTTTTCACCCAGTAACAAACGAACTTGCTCTAGCTCGAACATGCTCTGTACCCTGTGGTGCATGTGGGCGAACGGGCCATACGTGTGAGTATTTCAGCATACTTGGTGTATCAATAGGGTGCACTACATTTTCATTCTCTCAGGAACAAAATGCAACGACAAAGAAAATGCTGCGCTGGCTTCAACATCAGTATTGGGCCACTGAAGTTTATGCTGCCAGATCCGCAGCATCTATTGTATGTCCGTCATCGTTTTCTTCATCATCTACATTGACCAAGTTCCACATCATCCCCCTATCAAACTGCGCACACCCCTTCTGAAAGTAATCTACTATCTCATAAGGTGCCTTCCGCCCCCTCTCGTACCGATGTGGCTGAAGTTCACGAAGGCTCTTTCTTAAACCATCCAACCTCGATTGGATGTCAGGAGCTGCATGATGGAGCGTTTTCTCTGGTATGTGAAAATTGCTCTCAATGTCTTCGATGCACTGGCGGTATGCATTGATTATTGATGATTGACTAATCACGTAGTTAATTGTTTTCCCAGATCCCGAGCCGCCGTATACCACCTGTGGTTCGATGTTAAAATCTGTCATCACTATTAACGTTTGCCGCACCTTTGTATATAGGTTCATAAGTTCCACAAGCCAGTCAACTGCTCGAAATGTGCCCTCCTTTCCAGATGGACAGCATAACCAACACCTCATCACAGCCTCTTTTAATGGTTTGGGAAGATGGTTGAGTTGAAATAAGAACTTGGATAAGTGTTTCGCGTATTTGTATTTTCCACAGGCCTGAAACACCGGCACCCAGAATGAGAGGACATTGATGATGATATCAACCATTCCGTGGTTCATTGCATGAACAAGAATCCGGTAATACATGGAATCGCGGTTGAATAGGACCTGGTTCATCCATCGTTCATCGCGCTGCCTGTTACGTCTTTGATCAGATGAGATTGTGTTTGTTTCGAAATACTCGGACACAATGATCTTTGCCCTTCTCTCAATGTCCCCCAATCTGGTTTACTCTCTGCGTAATTCTGCAGGTCTCCTCCGATGTTCTCTGTCCAAGCGTCAAGGATTGTGCTTCTTGTAATGAACATTATACCGTCATTCATCATACGGAAGGGAGGGACACTTTTGTTGAGTTTTGCGATGTCATTGGGGAAGAGATGGGCGAGTTTTTTATAGAGGCTGTTTGGATCATTGCGTAAGTCATGTCCCACCACATGTATCCTGTTAATAGCATCAATGCATGCCATTCTAACATGAAAAAGCCCAGGGATCGGCAGCAGATAGTGCATGCGCTCCAAAACGTCGTCCTCGATGCACCGCGACTGCAAGATAGTCTCAATTTTTTCCAATGTTCCAAGATCACCATGAACAAATATAATGTACTTCTCGTATGTCGCTGCGTTCACGATGCCGCTTTGTTCCAGCAGTGACAAGAGAGCTTCAATGTTTCCATCGATTGTTGATGCCTTTGCATACATTGCTTTTGCAGTTGAGTACTTTGTTTTTTCCGGGCTCAGTTTGAATGTTGACTGTGGTTGACCGAGGTTTGAGCGCATTTCGGGGAAGTATTCATCAACAAGCACTGATTTGACATGCCACTGACAATGTTTTATGAGGTTCTGGACAGCGGCTGATGTTGGGATGACGTCGGATGGAGTCATGGGAGGATAGGGATTTGTGGCATCTGGGTTATTGTGGTGGCGATCCCACAACATCTCGGCATACTCGAGGTGTTCTGGGAGCACTTGACTAGGGGGATCAAGGAACATGCCGGTGGTGATGCTCTCAAAGGTGCGTTCATTGAGATCTGTTGACTGACCGACTCCAAATTTGAAGTCGCAGTTGTCATAAGCGAGATTGAGTACCCTGGTACGTCCAAGTTCCATGTTCATAATTTTCTGCGTCCTCATTAATGAGTTCCGAATGTTTTCGGTGGACTTTGGTGAGACTGCAAGGCCTGCATGTGCAGCCCACTCTCGGACCGATTTGGATGCCCGGCTCGCTGCAAGATAGAACGCATTTTTGGCTTGCATTGCATTGCAATGCTCGTTGGAACTGTGGAGCAAAATTGATATAATTACAGCTGCTTTCTGTATCACAGTAAGTCGTACTATCTCATGGAAATTGTTCAAATGCTTACTGTATTGAGGAGTGCATAATTCCTTTCTCCAGATGTGGCTTTATGTCAGAACCGTGCGAATCTTCGCCGAGGGTAGCCGTAGGCGACCGAGCGTTGCCCGCTAGTGGAATAGGCGTCCTACACACGACCGAGCTTTAGCGAGGAATAAACCCCACCGATCTCGAGGCCGAGGCTACTTAGGCGAGCGAGCCGGGATTTCGGCTTCAACGACTCGAGGAGGAGCGTTGCGCCTCGTTCTCGACGCGGTCCCGATACTTAGAAGGTCAGAGGTCTCGCGGGGACAGAGGTAAGCTCTAGGGGGTAATTCTAGTTGATTTCGAACTACAGTACAGGCATTAGTTACAAGCCGTATATAAGCGCTAGGGAACTGAATAAGGAATAAGTCGCCAGATCTCGCGGAGATTGCGGGCGGAGAAAAGAAGGTGGAAAACAAACAAAGAGCACGTGCTCAAGACAACGAAGGTCAAGCGTGACCTTCGCCGCGAGATAACAAGGTGCGGCGAAACATGGAACAATGGGTCGCGGCGCTCTGCGCCGCTAGGTCGTTCAACGACAAAGAGGAAAGGTGTTGTGGAGAGGTGGCGGGGAGTGGTTAGACGGCGACGGGCAGCGAGCGGAGTGTGCGGGGAGTGTTCGGGCATGGGAGAAGGTCAGGGAGGAGGTTGTCTGGCCCCGGGGAACGCCGGGTCGTGACACTTTACTGGCTTTACCTGCAGATACATCGTCGTCTTGGGCTCCATCATCGGCAAAATTGGATTGCACTGGGATAGGTTTTGCTCTCCTGCGCGACCCTGAAGCTCCATTTACATCCAATAACCGGCAACAGAGGCCCCAAAGGGCTGGGGACTTGGCTTGGAATAGCTCCTTCAACCTACTTAACCGGCCTGCTTCCAGTTGATCCACGCGTGCCTTATGTGCACTCATATGTAAGCCATTCTCTGTTCCCATAAGATCTTGAGCTTCCTGACTATAGACCAATGCAGAACTGTCCAAAACGAAATGACGTAAAACCACTGCCTCTGCAGGTGTGTCATGAGCAGATGGACGCAATATTGCAAATTCCAATTTAAGTTTTTCATCAAGGAAGTGCTTGTGGGTGAGCAGTATTGATACAAACATGGTCACCGTTATCCCCTGAGTGGAGATACACCTCAGGATTTCCTCTGCATGCAATATTCGGTCAGCTGCAGTCAGAGCGGACATGGAGGGCGGAGATGTTGGCGTTGGATGCCTAATCGGGCCACAGATTAGCGCAGGAAAATTTGGGACGGAAAGTGCCGTAGCACAGCCATCTACAATTTGCCCCAGTCGGAGGAGCGAAGTGTCGCGGGCAAGTTTCGGAGTAGGTGATCGGCTATGTGTTTAACTCCGTACCATGTGATCTGTTGTATTGAGTACAGAACGTGACTTTAATCGGAAGCAGGTCTAGTGTGAGAACATTTATTTACATTGCGTAAAAAAGCTATTATTTTGCGCGTCCACGGAGCTCCTCCGACTGGGTACGAGTCTGGTATTGGTCTAGCCGATGAAAACCTTGGGCGTCAAATGCCTTGTGTTATCGTTGTCGTGGGTAAATTTGCAACTTACTATCGTACTTGAGTTGTAGTTCCCAATAAGAAGCGAGGCGCCACGCAAGGGGAGATCACAGTTAATTTATATGTCAGGGAGAAGAGTCCGTCATTTTGGGGATTCCAGATATAAGGCGAGTACTGGTTATTGTGAGTGCTTGCTGGCGCGCTTTGTTTGCGCTTCGCACCCCTGGCAATCACACCTAATGTGACCGCACACCAAAATCCTAGTTACGACGTGTCATCAAAAAGATAAAAGTGAAAGCGATTGTTTCAGCAGCAGTGCATAAGTCAGGAGTTGCGCTGTGGATAAGGCTGATCGAGCGGCATTCATGATTCGGCATTTACGCCTCATCTGCATATGGGTAGTTCTACTAGTCTTGTATAGGTGGGGAACACCAAGCTACACTAACAATTGCACTGATATTGGGTGTGCGCAGCATGTAGCCGTACAAAACGACCAGCATGATGTGATTTTGAAGTTGTCAGGGATCAAGAACTGACCCATACAAAGAAACGCTGAAGCTGTCCAATGCTTTTCTGTTCGATCACAACGAACGAGAGTACAGGGCTTCGTCAGCAAGAGAGATTCAAGTTGGTCGTACTTGAGAAAAACGAGTGACGAGATGCTATGGCGTTGATCCTCTGCTGCGCAGCCTAGAAAATGGTTCTGTGCCAAGGCATACGTTGGGACGTGGCTGTTTACTCGTCCAATTTGTGCGATGACCCAGGTTTAGCGACTGATGGAGAATAAGCTGCAGCAGATGAAGGTTTGCTGAGGATGCCGGCGACAGGAAATGTTTGCACATGGGGAAAGCCAAGCAACGGGGATAGGAGTTAGGGACTAGTAAACGGCTACGAAGAGCCCTCATGTGGCATGTCTCCCAGAGATGGCGGCACCCCACCATTTCCGCGCCTCAGCATCCGTTTTCGGGGGTTCAAAGTATTTGCAACGCGACGAGAACGCTAAGCGGATAATAAGCTTGAAACGGAATTAGGCGGGAGAGGGAAGAAATCTACCTTCCCAAGACCTTCGTCGAACGATCGCTTCTACAGCCAGCTCTTGTCGTATTTGGTTTCGCTGCGAACCCATATGAACCAAGGAGAGTTGAGTACAACTGTTTGGAAGTGGCGACGCACAAGGATTTCATCACTAAAAAGACTGAATCGAATTGACCGTGATTTCTGGTCGCCATCAAGCCCTTCTTCCTGCCCCGATATTGATTTTTTCTTCTCAGTGACATTTTTGTCAACCACGTCGACGCAATAATCTATCACTTCTTTTCTGCCTTTCCAGTTCGCTATCGGCCAACTTCGGTGATCTTTCTGAAGAAGGGAATGGAGAACTCACCCACTAACTGTTTCCAAAAGAATTCACATGGCTCGTCCGGTTTCGAGGAATGTCCACTGCTCCGGTCCCTATCTCGCCACTGTGCGCTGTTACGATTCAATCGCATTGTAATGCCATCATCTAGGGACCGATACTCCTTTATTATATCTAGCAGATGAATCAAAATAATCCGAGGCATGTTAATTGAGCACCATCTAGTATCAGAGGGTCTAGAGTTGTCAAATACCCTTGAACAAGGAGAGCTGCAGGCATGTTGATTCAGTGACCCGAACAGTCCGGGTTGTTGGCGCCTCCACCGCAGCAGAGCCGAGGAGGGGTTTGTGTAGCACCATGACAGACGCACAGGCAATGCTCAACCTTCGATGGCAGGGGATGGCCGTGCCACATCACGTGTTAACGGACCTTGCCGCCCACGGCCACTCTTTGTCCTCAAGCGCGCTGTCTGTTCATCATGGGGGTAATGACGGCTGCAGCCATGGTGGCCTTGGCCAACAAGGGGAAGAATCCCTCTACTTCTCGTGATCCGACCACCAAGTTTGGACGCCAGCAGCAGAATGATCAGCGACGCCAACGGCGTGTTTCGCGTGACGATGCATCCTCATCCTCCTCTCCCCAATCCCGTTCCCCTGCCCCCGTTGCCGCGAAGATAGAGCCTAAAGATGAGCCCATGACAGACGCTACATCTCAGCTCACATATCAGGATTTCCCCTTGTGGTCCACTGCGCCTGACGGACATTCGTACAATACTCTGCGTTTCAAAGCGCCTAATAATACTCTTGCTATCGATATTAAACAGTTTCCGGCGCCTATCAAGCTGAATAGAAAACATCCGAGAGTCAGACATGGCGATGGCATCGGTGTTGGTCTGAATGCTTCAGATATTAAGTGGAGACCTCTTAAAGGGGCTGATGGTCGCGACGTCATTGGAAAGGATGGGAAAGTTGTTTTGGCTGCAACCATAGATGGTAGAGAGATTACGCAGGCTCAATACGAGAAGCTAAAAACTGGGACGACGACGAAGAAGGAAGGCGACGGTGACCCTCCGAAGAAGAAGAGTGCGGCGTTTAAGAAGAAAACCCGTCAAGTTTTCACTGCTTCCGATGCCATTCGTCAACTCCGCCGTGAGGAGCGATTCCCATGGTTGCTGGAACCGAGCGGTGCTGATATACCCGACACCTGGGTTGGCAAGATGACCGACCAGAACGAAGATGGCATTTATGCGTTATTTGTCGCAGGTCCGGCTGGAGGTTTTTCGTTCGTTCCCGTTAAACGCTGCTATGACTTTGTGAAATCCAGCACTCATGCTGCAACGATGACATCTGAAGAAGCGGAGGCAAAGGTATCTACGGTTGATTTCCTCGATCTAGATGCCCTTACCACATTACCCCCTCCAACAGTACCAGAAATCACTGAAACGCAACAGCCTCGCAGTTCAGTTCACCTCACGCGCAGGTGGTAGCATGTCTGCTGCCACATTGGCAACACTGGGTGTGCAGGATGCACAACACCGACACACTTCTCGAGTGAAGAAGGAAGAGGATGACGTTGGAGACAGGCTCTTTGACGATGATGACAACAGAAAACAAGATGCGGTAGGATCCCCACCCTTATACCTTTGTGACTCTTTCCACATACTGAAAATGCAACGTTGAGGCATACGAGGAGATGGATTTCGAAGAGGAGCATGCGGACGATGAGGATACGATGAACCCTGAAGATGTCGACGATGATGAGACCAAAGAAGCGAAGGTAAGTCTCATACTCGGGTCTGCATATTGATGACCCAAGTTCGTTCTTCAAAGGACAAAATCAAACGTGAACATGTGGCTGCAAATAGGACTATTGACGGTCACGTTGACGATGCCTCAGACAATGAAGCAGGTGGCTTGACGCGTGAAGGTCGGAAAATGAAGCGGACCCTGGGCCGACTAGATAAGAACTTTGGAAGCGATGATGATGATGACGAAGAGAAGAATCCTTATGCTTCATCAGTAAGTTTGGAGTTTGTTATATTGGTGGAATCTGGTCCTTTACACCTTATCAGGAGGATGAAGAAGATGAGGAGGACATCTTGTTCGGAACTGCGGAGAACTCAAAGCAAGAACAATCTAACCCATCTCCTCGTGCAACGCCGAGACCTTCCAAGTCTAGCTCCGGACAGTCTACTCCCGTCAAGTCTGCCCTTAAACCCGGGTCAATTCACAGTTCACGTGGCGCCAGCCCGGCGGCCACTTCATCAACCTTATCTGGTGCGGCCCACGTTGCCAAACGCGCTGTCAGTTCGCCGAAGAAGTCTGCTAGTCGTGCAGGATCGCCAATAGGAAACACTTCCCGCGCTGGGAGCCCCCTTGCTGGTGATTCTCCCAGTCGTGCCGGCAGTCCAGTACGAGATGCTGGACGAACAAGCACTCCCGCAAATGCAGCCGCAACTTCATCACGCGCTACAAGTTCAATTCAAAGTCAACCTCGCCCTACTCTCAGTCCAAATCCCCGTCCCACCCCAAGTGCACCACCATCTAACCCTGTCAAGAAACGAAAAGCACCGGAAGATGGGGGCCCACCCGCAGCCAAATCTGACACTATATCTACTAAGAAGCCGAAGAAAGAGGCCAGGGCACCCTTCGATGGTATGCTCACCGATGGGCCCGTCATTGAGTTCCTTCGCCAGCATCCTTCTGGAGTCGCCTCCAAGGAAATTGTCAATCACTTTAATGAATGGTTGACAAAGGACGAACGGAACAAGACGGTACTCACTGAGATCGTCAAGCGGGTCGGTAAATACGAGAAGATTGACGGAGCATATGTAGTTACCCTCAAAGCCACTTAATTTTTTTTAAATTGTTTCGACACTCATTGACCCAACCACATGTACAACTTATTTGTCCCCACAATCCATCGTGATTTTGACTATCCCCTTATCTCTGTTACAGTGCTGACAATGTCGAATGCTGAGTTATCGATAATGAATATTCCCGGAACCATGCGTCTAACAGTGAGTCAAATAAATCCTATCTCAGTGATCACTCAGTGATGCCCAACTGGTTCTCTGATACATTATGTTAGCAAAACGCAGCAGCCCTCCAGCATTTACAAACCCAATTCATCTGATTGTATCCTTCACAGACTCTTACCCAGTTCGTTGTCGCTCCGTGGACGCGCGAAATCTGAGCTTTTTTGTTACTAAGTACTTTTATTCAATACTAAAGTAGTCACGTTGGGATTGAAGCACATGATATGAAAACGTAATCACAAGTTCCAGTCACATGGTACGGAAATAAGGCAATTAAACCCGATCACCTACTCCGAAAAACGAACGCGACACAGTGTCGCGTTCGTTTTTCGGAGTAGGTGATCGGGTTTAATTGCCTTATTTCCGTACCATGTGACTGGAACTTGTGATTACGTTTTCATATCATGTGCTTCAATCCCAACGTGACTACTTTAGTATTGAATAAAAGTACTTAGTAACAAAAAAGCTCAGATTTCGCGCGTCCACGGAGCGACAACGAACTGGGTAAGAGTCTGGGTGTCAGTCTTGAAGAAGTTTTCATCCTGCTACGAACGCCTGCCAGCTTCTTCTGCCGTCTGCGAGTTCGAACCATGTCCCTGCACCTTTGGTCCACTTCTCCTGGGGGGCGTTTTTCTGATATCCTCCGAGTCACCTCCCCATCCCAATTGCTAGCTGTGCTCAGACTGGTGAATATCTGGAGACCCTGTGCGATACAACACAGGCGCCATCAGCTCTAACCCATTTGCGTTCAATCGTGGTCCAGACCGTCAGAGTCGTGCCGATTTTCTTTGGCCGCAACTTCATTGCGTTAATGGATTCAGACCAATCAAACAATGTCCAATAGTATCAGCTGTGAATCCTCTCTCACCAATGGTGGGAATACCCTTCGTTCGGTAAACCAGATGACATCACCGGCGACTTAGTAACCTGTCCGCATCGTATGGACGGATGAGAGTGTTTTTTCTCCTTGCACTCGGTAACAAATCTTCCATGGTACGCCTTCCGCGTTAGAACCCAGGAACTAGAGATACTATGACCTCTTTGAGTATCGGAGATGGGTCATTCAATCGTCATTGATGCGTGTTGCGCTCAGTGATCTACCGTACATGTCAGTGGGTTTTGTCTGGGAGTGCAAATGCGAATGCGAATGCGAAGCTGAGGTCGTACACCGTGCCCATTGTCCTGCCTTTCGGACATTCGAGGCGATGCCTTATTAATCATCGCTGACTTTTGTGTATCACTGCCCGTCAGTTGGGAACCTGGGATCGAACCAATCCCAAATTGGGCATTGACTGCGCGTTGTTCAGTCTGCTCGAGGGTTTCATTATGAATTCCCCTTCTCACTCACGGCACTGACATCCTTCGCCTGTCGAATGATTGATCATATCATAATTTCTTAACCCTGCGCATAATACACAGCGTCAATCCTGCCTGGACACACCTCGCTCATGTGCTCATGTGATGGGTAACAACTTATCATTGGAACTTGAAATTGAGATTGCCTGGAAGATTAATGAGACGGTAAACAGGTTTCTTCCAATGCAGAGGGGCTGAGGACTTGATTTTCATGCCACTGCGAGGGCTACCAAAGGGCTTCCCGCTTACTACGTTTTCATCTATGTCCCCTTTAGCGAGGCCCCAGCTATGCTATAACATCACTAGACGGTCTTGAGATTTTTGACTTGACACAGACCTTTGTTTTCGTCGAAGGCCACGGACGGGCCAGGTTTTGTCGCAGCGACCATCACCGGATTAAGTAGAATCTGCCTGCCAGCGCGCGCGGAAGCGGTGGACGATGCACCGTCAGACAAAGATGCCCCGTCTTCCTGTACGTCCAAACAGCGGTCGATCCTCAACGATGATGGTCATGACGTCCCGACATTGTGGGGCCATGTCACCAAGCATCACCGAGGTATCGAGGTTTCCGACCCTCTTCCCTTCGTAATTGATGTTCTAGATGAGTGTGCGCGAGACGGAGTGGATGGGGCGAAAGAAACATTATCCCCGCATCTCTGGCCTCCGTGTATACTTATCACAAGCCGGCGTGAATATCATGTCGCTGCAGATGGTGATCCATGAAGTCGATAAGCACACCGCTCTGCATGACATCGAGTCATATCTTCAGGGCCAACTGAAGAACGATTTTGGTGGCGTTGTCTATGATGGGTGGCTGTCAGTCGCCATGGTCTCTGCTCCTGCAAAGAAAGCCGATCGACTCTTCATCTGGGCCGTTACTGCTGTTAGGTACATAGAGAGCGATGATGCCGTGCATCAGCTGGATTTCTTGAATGACAGCCAGGCAACTGATTCGGGTCATTATGCGGAGCTTGACAAACTTTATGAAACAGCCTTTTCTCCACTCATATCTGCCTTGTGAACCTGTAGTAGAACATGCTGCAATAATTCACAAATGCAATCTACACTGTATCGCTTCCCACGGATGCCCCAGATCTAAGCATTCGGACGCTTCTCTTCCGCAATATTCCTCAAACCGTTGCTCATATTTTCGAACATTGCCTGGCGGGCATGGAGGTAGTTTTTCCAAACTGTCGCAGCAAAATCCGACAACTAAATCAGTAGTCAGTAACTGGACAAGCTGGCACAGACGCAATAATGTACCTCTCCATGTTCCTCTTCAGAATACAATGAATTGCTATCTTCAATGAACTTGGCTCGAGTTTCTTCTGAGCCATGGGAGGTCGCGTAAGTTTGTAGCAATGAGGCAAGAGTCTTCAGTTTCTCGCAAATGGTTGTCCGAGCTACTTTGATCGACAACCACAGCTGTCGAAGTTGTAAGAATGCAGACAAGCCAAGAAAGGGAGAGAGATATTTACTGGATCGGTTTTCTTTGACTTCCCGTTCCATCCCACTGGTCCGAATTGATGTGATTGAATATCAAAGAGAACAAATGCCTGTCACATAAAGAAGTCGTGTAAACACGGGACGTGCAAGGGCACCGTCAGCCAAAAACTAACCTCTTGGGCGAGTGTCGCTGAATGCAAAACTTCCCAGGGCAACGAATCCCCCTCTGTACTTCTCGTCACCTTCTGGGTAAGTTCTGGCACAGGACTTATTAGAAACGAAGTAAAGAACTGCCAAATCAAGTTACGAACCATCGACTAACTGGAGGGCGTCATCTAAAGTAGCTGAATCCCGCTCGGAGGTGGCCACACTAGGTACTGCTAAGGGGCATCGGTAAAATATTCCAGGGCACAACATACACTTACCATCACCATTTGCCCCTTTACCATTTGCTAAAGCTTGGCTCCGGACGCCGGCACCCGACCCTGCAAAGTACTTGTCGGTAACATCTTTCGCATTAACACTTCCACTCGGGGGATGCAAGCAGCTCCCCAGGACGTCTGAATAACGTTCGAGTAATGCCTCCCCTTCGGTGAGCTACCATTCGATGAATGAGTTGAACGCACACGAAGTGAAAATAAATGCATACGTCGTGTCCATCACCGCGTGATGGGCTGAAAAGCATCGGAGAGGAAAAAGCTGGATCGAAGGCTCGATTCATGGCACGAAGGTAGATTTTTAAGAATACTGAATACCAATGTGCCTGGTATATCCGTCAGGAAGCACGGCCACATGCGGGCAACGTCAGCATACCGTTTGTCGGGGACCTGCCGATAATTGCTCCTCGACGGAGATACCGCGACGCTGATAGTGGGGCAGCACAGAATAATCACGGTTATCGTGGCGAACTGGGGTCAACCGCAAATCAGATATCGTCGCCCTCCATCCTTTGAGCGACTCACCGATATCTCCAAAGTGCATTAGATCAAGATCCTCAATCTCTGCTGGAAGGGTCTCGTGCGTCGGTGGTTCGACTAGCAAGCGCATCCGTAACTGGTCTATCTTGACGAGATGTCTTTGCAACGAACGGTCAAGTCGGTCTTCAAAGAGGATAAAACCTGGTATCTTGAATGACACACGTAAGAACGGTGACATTGAGGGATAAGGTAGAGACCATGCCTGAGAGTACTTTTCATTCAGGAATACTTTAATCAACAGTCCTGGAGTCTACGAAGTGCACAAGTGAGTTCGACGCTGCCACAGGAAACATGTACCTACATCATTTATATTTTCTTGATATATTTGAGAAGCCAAGACCGCCTCCTCGAGAACGGAAAGGTCCCCATTGTTTGCCAAAGAAAATGACGTGGCACGAGACAGAATAAAATGCGACAAGGTTTCGTTCTGGACCGACTTGATATCAAGCTTCTTATAGTACTGTACAGCCAGGGAGTATGCGCCTACAAAGTTTGATGAAATTCATGCGAAAAAAAAAAATCATAGATTTAAGAGTTACACACCAAGAAGAATGTAGATCCGAATTAGCAATAGGCGAACTTGGAAATTCGTTGCACTATGCTGAGAGGCGAATTCCAGCACTACCATTGCTTGATGCAGTGGTGCCAAATTTCCTAACAACATTTTATTGGGAACACGTTGGGTAGACAATTCAGCCTCACACTCACTTTTCCCCTGATCAGCCCATGATTGTACAAAGCAGTTTGCTGCAAGCAACGCGAGATCGTCCGCTGGCTGTAACTCGGTAGTTGGAAGGTTACGACCGAGAGGTAGTGCGGTCAGATACATCTGGAAATATCTCACGCCGTCCTCCAACTCGTCTGAAGAACCGAGTTGCATATATCGAACGAACTTTATCACGTTGACTGTTCGCCTGAGCTCGTTTGATGTTGATACCTGCTCATGACGTTCAATGCGATCATCGGTTCAATGTGCGATCATGACGTACGGAAAGTTTTTGAGAAGCAAGGAAAGAAGACACCGCTTCCTTCTCCTCGTCTACTAATTCAACAATGTAAGGCTTCAAATCCTCGAAACAACAAGGTTTATTTGAGAAAAGATCGAAATATGCTCGTATCGCATCTGGTAAGGGTTGGGGAATGGTTATGGAATCTTTATTGAGTTTCTTTATGCTTGTGGAAAGCTCCAGAACAGCCAAATGAGCGCCACGTTCTGTTTCACCATCTTTAGAAGCAAGGGATGACAAGAGTGAGAAAGCATCGTTTGCCAAGCTTGTAGAAGGCTCGTCCTCCAGGGAAGAACATAGTCCGGTAATTGACTGCACGTATGAAAGGAATGTCAACCAGTTTCGATCGCTATTCCAAGTCTTGTTACTAAACGTTGGAACGCCACCCATGGAAGTGACTCACCCCGAAGCAAGTTTTTTCTCACTAAACTCTTTCTCCTCAGGGAATTTCTTCAGCTTAAGCCATATCTCGCTCCGCCTCTCTTCAATTGCCAAACTAAATCTGGCAAGAGAACGTCCCCGTTCAGACGACAAAAGGTCATATGCGTCCTGTAATTTCGGCTCATCGTAGGAGAGAAGGATCTCAATGTGAAGGGAGAGCTTTTCGGGGGATGATAAGGAATCCTGTGTGGGTGGTAATTGAGATAGCATCCGTAATGCCAGAGTCAAAAGCATGGGTTTCACAGCCGGCGCCGTAGCTGGGTCACCAGCTTGTAAGTACGCGCTCGTAGCACTCCAGAAGACGTATCTGAAATTCGAGAGATATGCTTTGCTCAATTTTAGAGAAATTTGTTGAGCGGCCTTCCAGCTTCCGACCCGAATGTTCGCAAAGAACGTTTGTACACCAAGTTCTTCGTTATTGGGTGTCTTCTTAAACGCATCCTCATACATGTTGACTGCGTCTCCGTGCCGAGTAAGCTGGCGCAAAGTCAGTGCAAGAGTTGAGAGAACGTCGTGATCGGTAGGATGCTCTTTTAGAACTTCGTCACATTCCTGAGAAGCATCTTGAAGCTTGCCACTTCGATACAACGCCAAGGATTTTAGAGCCTGCATCGCGTCAGCATGTTATTTTAACCACACATAAAGCTACGACGTTACCCTTATTATTTGAGATTTGGGATTTTTTTTCAAAAGTTTGTTGCATGTCTGGAGTGCGGCCCTATGCGCACCAGAGTCCAATGCGTCTCAAAATCGATGGGTTAAGCGACGGCGATGTGCTTGCAGCAGAGGAAATATACCATATATCGAAGCAAGTTTTTTGTAGTCAGCACTTGCTGACATTTAGCTGCGCAGCCAAGAGCAAATTTGTCAAAAATAGTGAGATCCAGAGGAAGTGTCTCTTCACGTGGCATCGTGAGAAGGTCCAGGTGACGACGAAACTGCGTTATTTTGTTGGTTTCCCCCAATTGCAATGTTCAACCAGAACTTGAGCACACTGAATTAAAATTCACCATCATGAGAAATCAGCAGTGATTGTGGTGCAAGCATAAACTAAGGGGTATAACTAATTCTATGCATGAAAAACTCATGTCCCTAGTTGGCTTGGGTCGGAAGCTGAAGTAAAGAGCGGCAGATCACCGCGGCAGAGAATGCATATGCTTTGAACTGGAAGCTGGAACGAAGTAGGGAATGATCGGAAGGGCTCGCTGCTTCTGTGATAAGGAATATGATAATTGGGGAACATCAATCAATTTTAGCGAGCAAATTGGACTCCAAAATCTACTTGCAGAAATAAGTTGCGGTCCAAACAGATCAAACCGAAACATACCCTAAACTCAATGGGGTATATTCATCGTAGTCTGTATGACTGTAACTGGGCTACAACTCAGATGATGTGCGAAGGAATGGCATTGTGAGTGGCGGAGGCAATTCGGGGGCGGGCAGCTTGGGTAATGACGAGCTAGGCGACGGTGACGCTGGCGCATTGTCGTCGGAAGGTACGCGTATTGGCGCCAGCTTTGGAGAGGTGATATTGGGTTCAGGCGTTGAGGAGGTACTTTGGTAGGGTGGCAAAGGAACGGACGCCTCGGATGAAAGCGAGGGCAATGCTGCAAATTGAGATCCATTGCGATGGAGGCCGGACTTCTTGGCCTCAACATCAGTAATGTCATCGATGACGATTCTAGGCGTATCAGGTGGATCCGGAACCCTTTTGTACTTGGAAAACAATCGAGCTACAGAGAATGGGAGCCATGGCTTCTCCACCTTACGAAGTGGAGCAGGTGGCGACGCCTCCAAATCGCGTGCACGTCCCTTTGCGTTAACAGGGCTAACTCCCAATTTCTTTCTTCGTTTGGACCACCACCAGATAATTGCCCAGACAAGTATGCCCAAAAAGAATGCTACGGAAAAGAGAGTCAAGGAGCAGGAAGAAACGAAGCTGAATGACGAACCCCCAAAAATGAATCCAAGGATGATGCCGACCAGGGGTGGTCCACGGCAGGTTTCGGGTCGTCGTCGGCGGCTGATGTGAAGGCCAAGCCTCAGTTCATTGACTAATGATTCAAGACTTGCATGCCAACTTACTCATCACGATGACACTTTCCCACTCCGCCCGCCATTATTGCACTGCCAGTATCATTTATACTACGTTTTGATCTAGCATTGCCCGCACCTCCGGCCCCGGTCGCGGTGGCACTCACGATAAGGAAACTGAGAAGTAACAGTGTGAACATCCTTGTGCCGAGATCACCGAATACAAGTGTCCGAGGTCCCAGGAACCGAATGTTCAATATAAAGCATCGCAATTATTCGGACAACTCCGCTACATTCGGCCAACTCCGAAGCCTTAATTTATCGGTGTCTACACGTGACAGGGGACTCACCCTGCGGTCTCGGACTTACAGTACTACCGTGCTCAAATGATTATGCCAGACCAATCGGACATTAAAGTGGGTGATTCCCACTTTCAACTAGCCATCGTAGTGACCAAACTCGCTCTGACCGCACTCCCAGGGAGTCCACGTTTATGAGTTTATGCGGACGGTGGCCTCTTGACACTGACAATCACGAGAAGCCCGGACGTCACGGAGTCGAACTTGACGGAAACTCCACATGCGCTGCCCCTTGGGGCATAGGCTATTCATCCCTCAACAAATCCCTGTGTTGGATTACAAGGTCGTGCCGCTCTTAGGTATTCCTGAAAGCATAAAATGCGGGCCTTCACGGCCATAGGTTCTCATCAACTCGGGACTCCCCCCGCCTATATAGAGTAGTGGAATGTCATCCGAATCGCTCGTCTGGTTCATCACTGGAACTAGGTGAGTCATGGAGATACCTTCCCCGTACACGGCATTGACGTGCGTGCTATGTGCAGTTCTGGCTTCGGTCACGACCTCACCCTCGCCGCCCTTCAGCATGGAGACAAAGTAATCGCAACCGCCCGCCAACTGTCCGCCATCGAGGGCCTCAAGGAGGCAGGGGCTTCAGTTCTCGAGTTGGATGTGGCATCTCCACTCGAGGAGGTGAAGTACGTCGCTGAGGCAGCACATAGCATATACGGAAGGATCGATGTCGTCGTGAACAACGCGGGATATGCCATTCTTGGTGCTTTAGAAGAGCGAACGTGAGAGATTCGATTATTGACGCCCGTTCAAGTCTGCCCAATGATGTTCCCAATGCAGTCCTGAAGAAACCCTAGAACAATTCAAGTAAGATAACGGACGCATAGTAGTCACCATTTATCACACTGACTTGAATTTCAGCGTGAATGTGTTGGGAGGTCTGAACGTCGCCCGCGCGTTCTTGCCATATCAGCGCAAAGCCAAAACGGGAACCATCGTCTGGATTGGCTCCATGGTTGGATGGTTTGGGGCACTGGGTGAGCCTCGTTCAAACCCGGATCATTTTTGCGACCGTGCGATTAATGGTCTTGCCAATCAGGATTTGCCCTTTATTCGGGCACCAAGCATGCCATCCGGGCCATCGCAGAAACTCTCCATGAAGAAATTTCGCCTCTGGGCTTACGTTTGATCGTGCTCGAGCCTGGCATGTTCCGCACGGCTGGTATGAACCCAGGGAAACCCACCGTTGAATACGTTAACCGCGTCGAAGACTACAAAACTATATTAGAACCTTGGGTAACTAGGTACAAAGCTGCTTATAATAACCAACCCGGGGATCCGAAGAAGTTCGTGAAATTGTTGATTGACTACGTGAAACTAGAAGGGCCATTCTCGAAGGAGCAGAGGGGAGACAAGGAGGTCCCTATCAGTTTTCCCGTAGGACCAGATGCATACGTCTCTGTGACGAAGCGCTTGAGCGAGCAGCTCAAAATGATGGAGGATTGGAAGGATGTCATTCGTAGCACTAACTTCTGAACAAGTAGATGGGCTATTGACCTTCTGTTGAGGCTAGCCTGTGTGCAGCTGGACGGGTACACCGACGACCGTCAAAACTATTTGAATAGGAGCACAAGTAATCGCGACCTGAGTTGTGCATGACTGCCATATTGCATGAACCAGAACCAACCTGCAACGGCCCACACGACGGGTGTCCATTGCTACCGAGTCCCTGTGCTTTCATACTCCTACCGTGGACCCACCGATGCCCGCGCGGAGCAAGGGCCCCTTAAGCTGCGCGCGAAATCTACGTCGGCTCAGTTCATGTCCCGGAATGGCGAAAGAAATCCCCAAAATATTAGAGATGAACTGCCCACTCCAGTGCTGTCCTTCCGTCTGCTAGGGCTGTCCCTTTCACCATCCGGTTCAAGTTCATCTTGCGCCGCGCACTGTTCCTGACTCATAAGTGCTAGAGGGCCGAGAACCAATCAGCAGGGGACCCGAGTTATCATAGAGCTTGATATCCTGCCTAATCCTGAGATCGCGGTTTCTTTCAGGAGGCATATTAACTTTCTCGAATCGCGAATCACGGGTCCAGACCTCCTATCATCAGTCTTGTGACCTTCAACCCGCGCGTTGACACTTGGATCCTGAAACCTAAGACATGCCCCAATAAACGATATCGGCAAGGTCCATCCGGGAAAGACACGTATCTTTCGTCGTCGAGACTCGATTATTCCTCCTTTCCCGAACGCGCCCGTCGCATATCAGGAACACACACAGAGTCTATTATCATTTCCAACTCCATATTATATGAAGTCTGGGCAGCTGACCCCCCCCCCCCCCACCACCACCACCACCACCACCACACGCACACACACTTAACTATATCTGCTGTCGCTGGAGAAAATGCGGGTCGATCGGCCTTCGTCCTGCCATGACTCTCCTGGTTGACACTGGTGAGGGCTTGCCCCGTCGATCGGGTCCTGGAGCATGAGATTGGATGTCCGACGAGTTATGATCATCATCGCACGATCGCGGGTGTCTTTGCTGGCAGGGGAACATATGTATGTTGGCTGCACGGGTCTTATCAAAGATGACGTTGGTACGTCCGCATTGTTGCAGCGAAGGGATGAAGCTGTTATGTGCGGAACGTTCTGAGAGCTACGAATTGGTAAGAACATGGCGGCTCTCGCCGAAATTAGCTGCCCTCGTACTACAGAGGCAACGGGCTACGCGCAGCCGAGGACACTTCACTTATGTAATCTCATAGCTATACCACTGGCCCATTCGCGTGGGGTACAAAATAACATCATCATCCATTCCTGCCACTTTTCATATCAGTCTTGAATGCACGGTTTCTCAATGCGAGAATCGATAAGACACCTGTGTCTGGCGGATTGCTGAAGCAGAGGACCACCCTTGTGCTTAAGAACCAAGTTTCATGCATGAAATAACAAGATTGGCGGACTCATCTGTGGATATCGAACACCGGAGAGAGGTGGTGGGAGGTGTAAGCTGCACGCCATCAATTGCGACAAAGTTAATCGTCAGAACACATGGACCGGAAATGGCCCATGTAGCTGTCATGAAAGTGGCGAGCAGCCCGAGGAGTCGTCCAGCCATGAACCAGGTCAAAACAGTTGAATCGACTGCAACCGTCGCGCATCACTTATCTCCATCGTAAGCCCTGATGACCGTGCTCGCCACTAAAAGGCAACCTGCGGGTTCTAGGATCCTTGGGTGTTGGGCTGTCCGGTCCAAACCCGCCACTTGTGGTAGAGGCCCAGAGAGCGAGTTACATGTCCATCGGAGATGAGCATATGGCGGCGAGGACCAAGTTTGTGTGTTATCAACGAGTTTTCCGGTGAGCATCGTAACTCAAAAATTGGGCAGTTTGCGATGTCGTTCCCAGCATTTAATCGAGAATCCGCCCAGGCTTCCCGAATCCCCATCCCTTTTGTCGTCAGCATGAAAAAGGCAACCAACGCCCACGGTAATGGTGCTGGGCAGTGGGCCATCGGTCCTTATCTCGCTTGGCACTCTCAAATCGCACATTCGCGTTTGAGAAGACAGCCAAAATCGCCATGACTGAGCAAGGGAGAATCACGTGTGGCCCTGAATGGGTTGAAGTTGCTTCACGGTCTCTTTTGTCAAATACAGGCAAGATGCCCAGTGATTGCCCTAGTCCGCTCCGTAGCTTTTGTCGGTCTTCCTCGCATTTGGCAGGCGCAATGGATAATTTCCACCAGTTCAGTGCATTCGATCTCCGTTCAATACATGCTTGCCATTCGGACGCTGTTCCCTCGAAAACTCGGCTATTGCTGTTTCCAAGGGTTTTATTCCCCGCTCAGAGGGGTTGTATGCCATTTCACACTAACCCTTCTGATAATTAACACCAGCTGGGACCGATCGCCCCTCACAACTCCGCCCCCTGTACCCTCGCCCCCCCCCCCACACACACTGTTTTACTGTGTGCCCCTCCGTATCCTCCTCAGACAAACTTGCTTCAATCATCTCCTTTCGAACATTTAGTCGGTGCTTGATATCGCAGATCTGGGCATCATGGGACTCTGGCAACACCCCTCTCTTCTCTACCCATGACCAAAAACGGTTTGTTCTGTCCTTGTCGTGGCGGAATTTTTCCAGACCGTTTTAGAACTTACCCTCCTGGCATGTGAGGCCCGAGTTCTCTCCGTTGCAGCCTGGACTTCTTATGGGACAGTGCATATACCTTACGCTCAGGAACATTAATGTTCGCGCCGGATGAGACCCCCGACGCAAAATGATGGAATAGGGTTCTTAGAGATATTTGACTTGGCATATTCCGGAGACGGTCCGCTTGATGTGATGCGGACGATGAGATGCATCAGTCCACAATTCAACTTCATTTCATCAGGTTGGAGTGGCGATCGCGATGCCTCCTGCATTGTCGCCGCGGAGTTTTGAGTATGTTCACTGGCCAGAGGTTGGGACCCTTTCTTCGCTGTTTCTCGTTTCGCTTCGTCTTCAAAACTGCCGCGCTTGGACACAATGACTATTGCGGCGTTCAGTACTGGTGAACGGTTCATAACTATGTATGTTGGCTTTTTTGGAAATAGCGCCATCCTTTGCGACATCGTGTCCACCTTTCGTTCAACCTGCTATCCCTTGCTGTAGCGCTATTTGGCTTATCCGAGGTAAGTACTAGGGTCTCCCTCGGTCCCGGCTGTGACTCCCCGCCAGCCCATTCACCTGAGTAGTCACTAGACTCTGCGTTACTGACAAGTGAACATAGGCCGCAAAACCTTTTCCCTCTCCAAAGTCTACCGTCGCACTTTGCACCATCCCCTGGCCAATTCCCTCTTACCTCTCACTTGTTCAGCAGACCTCCCTGGCCCTTGGTGTGGAATAGGGTTCTGGGGATTATTAGACAACGAAGCACTCTTACGTTCGATCAGTCCGATGCCGATTGTCAGGAAATTGAATAAAATTGGATGAAGGTTCCCTTTAACAGCGTTTGGGTCAATGTATGCCCGACCAACTGCCGGTTGGCGGTGTTCCGAGCTAAGGTCCCAACGAGAGGTCGGGTCCGTATTTGATTCAATATGCAAGTGCATATCCATTGAAGGGTTTGGTTTCCTTCATCGATCATCCTACTTTGTCCACGTGTGTACTACACTATGTAAGGCGGGATTACTGTAGCACGCCAATTTACCTCAGCATACCATGGGCAGCATTCCCTTGATGTAATGATTGGCCGCGGTTTCTACTGTACGATTCTAAGGCGATATTCAAGCTAAGGCAGAGCAGCATGAGCACAGATTGGGGCCAACATGCAAGAACATGCATAGACTGAAGCGGTTCAGAACTCTCCGCAGTTGATGCGAACCCTAATTTCTAGGGTGGAGTATTATTTGTCTGCCATACGTAGAGCACAACAGATGACAGAACCGGGATGGAAAACTATAGGATTCTATTTCTGGTACGACCAAACAGTCTGTAGTACTGTTCAGAAAAGGGAAAAAAATGTGAGCTGGTTCCCAAGCAAAGTGGCAGTAAAAAGTATACCACGTACACCCTTCTTTTGTTGCCACGCGGTTGATTGCATCATCGCTCTCACCGCTAGCGCGGACCTGCCCAGAAATGGCGAACGAAGTCGAAGTAGGGAGAAGCTTTCCCTCAGCGTCGACATCGGCGACGGATATTTGAATTGAAGAGCGATCATTTGCAGCAATCAGACGACCTGTCAGAGGGAACACAAAGGAAGTAGTATCGCAGCGATAGATTAGTGCATTATGTGGCTGCCGACCACGCATGAGGGATGTGTATACTCAACTGGTCGCAGCGCATTTACGAGGAATATAAAGGTCAACGAGAATACCCTACAAAACAATAGCATCAATCTCAGTAAAATAAGAGACCTTGTAAATCCTCTACTTGATCGTTTTCCATGGCTGGCCGGTTGAGGTTGGATGAAGACTCGATTCAAATTTTGCATCCGGCAACAGTGCAAACTGTACAGTTCAACTCTGATTCCTGTCCAACGATGCTCAAGTGCTCAAGTGCCAATTAACTTGGTCCAAGGCCCTTATTGCTTCTCCAGACGCCTATCAATGCACCATGCCTACGGTATCATCAGTTGTTTGGACCAGTATTACAATCTTGAGCGTCTCGACATCCTGCTGGCAACCGGAACTGCATGCTGCTCAATTGACTTTGGTGAATGGGGCACATCTCAAACAAAAGCAACCACGGGCTGACCAATACTTCGTAGAGGCTAATTTTTCCGACGCTCTGTTTCCTTCGCTTTAGCGTTGATACCACAGATATTCCACATTCCGTGTCTAGATACTCGGCTCACGTGTATGTTGTTTAGGTGCCAACTCGATCTCGAGCTTCGCCCTGAGTTGTTTATTTTCCGAACGGCAATTGATTTATGTGCATGGAGCCGTGAATATACCATACCAGGTTATCCTTGCCGCCGGAAATATGCTGAACATGTCCACCTTTCTGTTCGTGGATTCAAGCTTGATGCTTTCACTCAAGTTGAGAATCATGTACTCTTCGTTTACCAGCTGCGAGACATGAAGGCGACCAAGCCACGTGCCAATTGCCTCAACTTTCCTTTACTTCGTAGCGAATGCGGCCAATCGTAGAGATAGAGTCTCTTCGCTTTCTTAGGAGAAATGCCGCATCTAGAAGTAGCAGCGTGTAGTAAACCGACCTTTGGCAGTGCTGCGGCATGTCTCCTAATGATTCCTCATAGTAACTCCTTGGTCCTTGATGCAATCCGCAGTAGCTCTCATTTCAAACATGGATATGATGAAAAAGGAGCTGAAGTCCAAAGGAAGCTTTTCGCTCCACTTGACGCCTGCCTGCCTGCTTTATTCCCACAATGCAGGTGGACCTGCCCCTGTTAGACCGGGGAGTCCTTCAACTGAGCCCGAGCTGTAGAAATTTATCGCTTGCAATTCTGCGGGCGTTGGAGAAATAAAGCAATTGTGATAGACTATGGAGGGCCCGAAGATATCTTTTCGTTTTCTCATCTAGTTTGCAGGTGAAAACAGGAATACTGTTTTTGGGCTAGCTCTTAAGCGTCTTAGAGAGTCGTCACAGATTTGGGTTTCAAGTCAGCAAACTGCGAATGGCATTGCCCCTAATGACAATGCTTATCTTGTCATGGAGAAGCCGATGTGTGAGCTACTGGTATGCGGTCGTCTCAGTTTCGATAATAAGTGGAGCTGCCGAGTCGAACAGAGATCAAAGTATGAGTCTCACCATTGGCGGTGAATCCGTGCTTCAAATCTGACACCCTGAACAAAGATCGGTGATCCGGTGGACCTTGTGTTCATTTGCACTGCATCTCTACAGACTACTTAGTATGCCAGCTTTACATGGTTGGCTCGTTGTATTTTTGCGGACATTATGACAATGAGAATTCGCCTATGCGTCCACCCTAAGCAGCTAGGTTGAGGCGGGAAACGGTATCACAACGGTCGACACATTCAAAAAAGAGCTCGAAAAATGCTGGGACCTATAAGGAATGCAGATCAAGATTGAGGTGCAACCGCACTAAGGTGAACATACATCAATTCCTTCCGCAACAAGAACGTTCTTGCCTGTTGGGCCCCACGAATCATCGTAATCTCGATAGTTGAATGCGTCTACGACAGTTTGACCTGTCCCCAGAGTTGAAATACAGTCTACATCGACCCTGTATCTTGTGGCCCTGAACAATTCTGGTCGAGCAACATACGCGATCGTGAGTGCGTCATGCAGTGGTGGCCCATCATTGAAGCCAAACACAGATTTATATGAAGCGGCAAAGTAGGAGACTATGCTGTGAAGCGTATGGCGGAGTGGTGTTGTGGTATTTGACAAGCCTCGCTCCGAACATTCATTCAGAAGCCTCCTCTGCAACGTTTCTGTGACTATGGCTTTATGCGTGACATTCAGAGGAATCATTGTCTTTCGTCAGAGAGCCATAAATTAGTGCATTGCAGAATCCCGACATAAGGAGAAGATTCGACCTTTCGAATTGGTGCGTCCACGACAATCTGAGCAGCTTCAGGGTCACAAAGAATATTGAATTCTAGTAAACAATCGTCACAAAATGTCAAATCAGTCAAGAAGTTAGCATTCACCGGCTACTGCACCCCGATTCCCAATGCCCACACCTTGGCCGGGTGTACCAATCAGGAGCGAGACTCAGGGCCAGATCATGAATGCTCACCGCCTCCCATGAAGCAAACTTCCTCGAACGCGGACAACAAATAAGGATAAACAGATATAAAGAGGGCAAGATTGGTAAGGGGCCCTGTGGCTACCAGATGTATCTTGTAGCCAGAGCTAATTGCAAGCTTTGCAGCAGCGGCAAGGCCTTCCACCGCATTCGCGGTATGGGAGCTTTCGAGGCGAGAAAGAATGACAGGGTGATTTAGAGGTGGAAGCCCAACGACTCCCCCCAAACCGTCAGGTCCATGAATTTCAGGATCGGCTCTTGGATTCGAGACCCATGTTTGTGAGTGCTTGCACTCACGGGCAGAAAATGAACCCGCGCTCAAAATGCAGCCACGTACCTCGATGGCCTTATTAATGGCTTGGGGGCCCCTGGGTGAACGACCAATGCATCATGCTGGGGGGAAAACATGTGGATAAGTCTTATCGCATTTGAAAGAGTGCATTCCCCACTGCCCGCGAAATGGGTGAACAAGCCAAACCAAAGATAGCTCAAATGCCGACCTAGCATTCCCGTGAACCGTAGATAGACCAACAAGATTTATATCTGACGGTAGACTTGTTGCAAGAAGTATAGCACAAGCGTCATCATGTCCCTTTGTGGAGGTTACACTTTGTGAATACGTCAGGCAGGTGATAGGGGTAATTAGACCGGACGAACTGGATCACAGTCCAACCAGACTTAAGAGAGGCGGGTCAGGAGATTATGTTTCTTTCAGAGCACCATCCACAAACCGTGCTTCATCCTAAGCAGATTAATGGAAACAGTAGCGTGGCTGTGCGCTGGCGCGCGTAGAATTAGGGTTTCTAAGTTCTAGACCTTTGTGAAGGATACAGACTCTTACCCAGTTCGTTGTCGCTCCGTGGACGCGCGAAATCTGAGCTTTCTTGTTACTAAGTACTTTTATTCAATACTAAAGTAGTCACGTTGGGATTGAAGCACATGATATGAAAACGTAATCACAAGTTCCAGTCACATGGTACGGAAATAAGGCAATTAAACCCGATCACCTACTCCGAAAAACGAACGCGACACTTCGCTCCAACGACTGGCACAATTTGGCGGTGGCGGTGTTCTCGGTAACATCCGGAAATAATACTTCGATCTCAGAAAGGCATCCTCGCCGTGTCCCCTTGTCCCTCCACCACCTTTCACACCATGAACACACCTGCAGATCGCGTAGAAGATGTATTTAAATACATGCTAGCTAATGGACTCACCCTCACATCATTCCTATCAATCATTTTGACCTCCATGCAATTTGGAGACAAATTGCGGGAAATGCAACTCCATATCCTCAGTACTACCGAAGATCTTCATGATGCCACTGTTGTGAGAAACTGGATTCTCACAAGCGCCCAAGCAGTTTACATCAAAGAGATACAAGCACTCATGGAAAAAGGGAACGGACTCCACATGAATGCCTCCAAACTCCATCCAGCACAGCTCGAAGTGGGGAAAACCAGCGTACTGAGGCCGCTATTTGAGTCCAAGGCACCGGCACTTTGGAGACTGCTCCAACACCTCCTTGTGGTGGAAAGCAAGGGACGAGAAGGACGCAGGGCAAAGGTGGTACCGAGTCGAAGTGCCGGGTTAGGTGCCGGAAGAGATGAAGACGGTTGTGGCGATCATGTTAGTGCAGGGCACCAGTCAAAGGGAAACAATAGGGAGAGGAACTACGCCCTGCTTCAAATTGTAAGCTATAGCGTGCAATACATATTATGTATGACTTACTCTGAAGTTTTGGATAGAAAGGAGTCGTAATCTTATCGATAATCTTGCATGGTTGCAATGAACAGTGCAATGCATTGCAGGTGAAGAATTCATTCTATTTGGCTGCTTCGAATGCTTCGAAATCCGTCCGTCAGTGGGCTGCGCATGCCGGACTTGCAGTCTCCCCCTCCTCACTGGATAACCTTCGAATGTCACTGATAAGGAACCAGAAGGAGTTGAATAAAAGCCTTGGGTCCACTCGAATAGTGAACTTAGCGTACGACAACTGTGACTTCAAGTTTGGTGTTGGCCAGCCAACAGATCTTAAGGACCGCACGTTCGAGAGCATCACTACGGGACTTTTCTTTGCACCCCCAAAGGAGGTGCTTCCTGAGCATTTAGAATACGCTGAAAGTATATGGGACTCACATCCAAACAACCCCAATGCTCCCAATGTCCCACCGATGATCACCTTTGCCGATGTCCTACCGACTACCGAAGCTACAGTCAGAATCATGGCACACTGTCGGTGGCACATCACATCAGTATTGATCGAAGAACACTTCCCTGAACTTCGATCTCATCTTCTTGATCCTCCATCGACGTTCCAGTTGTCACCGCAACAAATGTTGTACTCTACCGCAGAGGCAGTGTATGCGAAGGCATCCACAATTGATGGGAATATTGACGCTATCATGTCACTTCTCCAGCAAAGTGGCATCGTGGAAGCGGGGGTCTTCGAGAAATACGTTATTCTTGTACACGGGGATCTTGGTACAGTTGAGAAGGTCGAAGGGATTTTGCGATCACGGCGCATTGAAGAAAGCGCGCTTGAGCGCATGCATTATCTTGTGGCTATACCAGGACTGTTTCATGTCAGAATGGCATGTGTTGATGCGATGAATAGGATTCATGCAACTGGGAAGGACTCACGAAGTGACCCAAATGGGTTGTACAAGCGCCTCTGCTTGCTCTTCCCAAATGACCTTTCTAAATTAAACAAGGCAGTCCCACCCTTTCGAATGATGAATGATGGAATAAATTACATTACCCGATGCACCATTCTTGACGCGTGGACGGAGAATGTTGGTGGCGACCTCCAGAAATTTGTTGAATCCAAGCCAAGCCTTGAGGTGATTCAACGACGCGCCGAGCATATTGCAAAGGAATACTTCGAGACGAAGCGATTTGATGAAGATCAGCAACTGCCAAATCGTCCAGACCAAAGGCAAACGAATCAGGTCTTGTTCAATAGAGATGCGATGTACTATCGCATCCTCGTGCACGCTATGAATCATGGAATGGTGGACGTGGTAGTCGATATCCTTTCATTCTGGATTCCGATCTTCCAGGCTTGTGGGAAGCATAAGTATGCGTCATACCTTTTAAATTTTCTCTTCAAGCTACAACAGTACCCCGCACCACTCCGCACAGCGATTATGAGGTGCTGGCTTTGTAATCCTGCAGGGAAGAAAGCAGGCTTTCGGGCAATTGATTGGCTTGTCGAATTGATGAACCTCTACATAAAGGTGGACAATGAACTCATTATTTGAATGTTCGAATTCTAACGAGAAACACGTAGGTCGTTTATTCGGGGACAGGATCTACAAAAACAATAGAATATATAATTAGTCAATCATCAATTATCCAGGCATATAGAACTTGCATCGAGGATGTGGAGGAAGATTATCACATACCAGAAAAGACATTGCACCATGCCAGCCCAGATATAGAATCCAGACTAGTCGCTATCATGAAAGACCTTCGTAACCTTCGACCTCACAAGTACGAGAAAGGACGCACTTCACCTACTATGATCGAGGATCATTTCCAGAAGGGTTTGGAGCTGTTCCAATGCGGGATGATGTGGCGCACAATTAATCGTGGTGACCTGGAATTGACAGATGACACATACGAAATTGATGCCGCTGATCTGGCTGCTTAATTGACAATATCTTGGGCCGAGACGCTGAGTGAGTGGCGGAGTTTTCCTTGTTTGGGCAACGGTTCTCTAAGTAATGGCACAAGAGAATGTCATCTTTGTATTTACGCTTGCATGCAACTTACTGGTATGACCACTCTGATGACAGTTCTTACATGGCTCAGGACAAGTTCGTGCTAATCCGGACATCAGTTCGTAAAATATTGCAACTAGTCATAGTAATAGTAAGCTCACCATTGTGGCCATGTTTCTCACAGTTGCCACATTTTTTCGAGCGAGGTTGAACTGTAGCACCAGCTTCCGCTGCCACGGATGGCTGAGCAGATGACTGAGTGGATGGTGGTGGAGCTGGTGGAAAAACCTGGTGAATAATCGGTAATAACTCCGATGCGTAGCGTGCACGTTCTTCCCAATCAACAAGTTGTATGAATTCTTGCTCACTCGAGAGTTTGTTGCTATTCGCAAGATAGATAATATCATCAATGATTTTGTTGCCAACTACGATCCAGTCCCCTATCCACATATGGTCCAGCCGATCAGAATAACGCTTGGAAAATTCAGCTTTCCTCCAGTCACGGAGTGCTGAGTTGAGTTGAGACGAACGAATCAGGTCCTTCTTATAACCTGGTTTCGCATGTTGAGGGGCCCATTTAACAGATTGTTCTGCAAGTTCATGGCCAAACATTGTAGCTGTGAGAGTAGGGTTATGAAGATCACAGCACGAGGTGGGGTTGCGCAAGTCACAACGGTTACAGCAGCTGCGGGGGATTGCTGACATAATTTGGGATGAGCTGCAGGCACATGTCAACGACATCAATACATACGGATGCGGTCATTACCGAAGTGAACATCTAGGACTTTCCTCCGGCACCCATGGCGAAGGTCATCTTTTGGAAGCCAGTGGGCATTGATGAAAGTGTCCAATCCAGGGTCAACATTCTCTCGGTCCCCGGGGTTCCTTCGGTGAGTCTTCTTTTTTGATTCCTTTGACAACGTTGTTGCAGGCCCCACAAGCCCCTGGCTGCACGGGTCCTCATTTGGGCTCATGTTTGTTGTATCACCCGCTAGTGATTGCAATTTTAGCTTCTGTGTGAAGTTCTAGTGGGGGAGCTCAGTGAGGGCCACTTACGTGCACTCTGGCTTTCCACCGCTTCCAAACAGGACATCTCCCAGTCCAGCTCCCTCTCGACATCGTCTAACAAGATCTCAAGATCCATCGGTGTTGCTTCTTCCCACTCATTCTCTCCTGAAGTGAGGTGGCTTTCACCCTCCACATTTGCATTCTGGAGTGGAGCCTCTAGAGGAATATCGATGTCGCTCGTTGGCCATACATCCATCCTGGGTGGTAGGTCGGGGTCAGGACGATGGATTTCAAGTAAGTGATTGTCGAATTCTTGGTGCTCCATCAAGGCAGCATTGATTTGATTTTCTGAACAGAGCCTCTTTCGTCGCCTGTCCCCAGTTGCCATTGGTCTCTTCTCACTGGACACTGCTGCGTCAGCCTTCCGTTTCTTGTTCTCAGCTATCTTTCGGGCCCTTTCCTCTCGCCGCTGCCGTGTGCCCTCGAAATAATCCTTTGGTGCCAGGAGAATAACGATGGCCGCAGTTTCAGGATTACGTGCGGCCCTTCCGAATCGCTGAGTCAATGTGTTCAAGTTGTCAGGTGGCCCGAACTGAACCAAGCAAGTGATGTTTGCTAGGTCATGGCCCTGTTTGACTTGAATTAGATAGATGACACTGGGGATGTGAGTAGAGTTACCAGCCCCAGTGACTCCGTACTTGTGAGTCCAATAAGCTTTCCCTCCTTGAGCAACTTGACTGCCATTAACTTATGACCATCTGACATCCCCGAATGTACCCAAATAATCCTATTTCTGAGCATTGTGCACACTCGAGACCTCAGGAAGCCAGCACTGCGCTCAGCATCAGCGCGGGACTCGCAGTACACAAGAAATGGCTTTGGAAGAGGATCGGATTCTTTCAAACCTAGTGGGACAAGGAATGCTAAGTCATTGCAAGAATCCTTGCTATATTGCATCTGACGGACGCAATAATGCAGGTTTGGACGGTCATTTGAACGACGCAACCATTTTGTTGTCTCCCCACTGTGATCACTATAATATGGATCCATTCCAATTGCTGACAATACTTTTCTGCATGTGCGAGGGTCCAAGGTCGCAGAAGTGAGGTACCATTGGCATCGATTCCGGAGGTATGAGTAAAGCCAGGCTAAGTTCGTATATTTTGTTCGGAACGACAGCCACTGGACTGCACAGTGGGCCTCGTCAACAATGATACGATTAATGTTACTGACAAAGCTGTCCTTCATCCAGAGTGGTCTAAGGAGGTTCCCTCGGAGCAAATCGGGGCCCAGGACAACAAATTGATATCTCATACTTGCAATCGCCTACTTAGTAAGTCAACATGGATTTACATATAAGTATGCAATTAATCCTTGCTCAAGTATGTACGTGCCTTTACAACATCCTTGTTAATGGTCCTTGCTTCCAGTGCAATTGCGGTGAGTCCTAATTTCTCTGCGCTCTCTACATGCTGATCTGCAAGCTTTCTCAGCGGTGCGATTATGAAAGAAACCCCTGGTTTTTTTTTTTCATAGAGTGCAGGAAGGAAAAACGTGTATGTTTTTCCAGTTCCTGTTGCAGCTGTTGACACTAAATTTTGCTTTGGCTCACGAAGGAGAAACTCGGCGATTTCAGCCTGGAACCAGCATGCACGACGATTCCATTCTGCTTCACTTAGGGCTCTTATTTGCTCAGCAGAAGGCATCTGGCCTGGTTCTACGCGATCTGCAGGTGTGTTCATGGTGTGAAAGGTGGTGGAGGGACAAGGGGACACGGCGAGGATGCCTTTCTGAGATCGAAGTATTATTTCCGGATGTTACCGAGAACACCGCCACCGCCAAATTGTGCCAGTCGTTGGAGCGAAGTGTCGCGTTCGTTTTTCGGAGTAGGTGATCGGGTTTAATTGCCTTATTTCCGTACCATGTGACTGGAACTTGTGATTACGTTTTCATATCATGTGCTTCAATCCCAACGTGACTACTTTAGTATTGAATAAAAGTACTTAGTAACAAGAAAGCTCAGATTTCGCGCGTCCACGGAGCGACAACGACGTTCGTTTTTCGGAGTAGGTGATCGGGTTTAATTGCCTTATTTCCGTACCATGTGACTGGAACTTGTGATTACGTTTTCATATCATGTGCTTCAATCCCAACGTGACTACTTTAGTATTGAATAAAAGTACTTAGTAACAAGAAAGCTCAGATTTCGCGCGTCCACGGAGCGACAACGACGTTCGTTTTTCGGAGTAGGTGATCGGGTTTAATTGCCTTATTTCCGTACCATGTGACTGGAACTTGTGATTACGTTTTCATATCATGTGCTTCAATCCCAACGTGACTACTTTAGTATTGAATAAAAGTACTTAGTAACAAGAAAGCTCAGATTTCGCGCGTCCACGGAGCGACAACGAACTGGGTAAGAGTCTGACTGACACCCATGCATGTCGGTGTCCAACGAGATGAGGGAGCATTGAAGCGCCAAACCTACTAGAAATGTTTTTCCGCCCAGCTTCTAAACAAAAACAAACGATCAACGATAACAGAATCAGTTCCAGAACTTTCTAATGAGATCACTGGCAAAGAATACGTGATCGGACGGGCTGAGAGTCAAGTTGAAATAGACCCAGGGATTGTTTCCCAGCAAATGCCCACCACAGAATCTTGTGGAGGGTGAGTACGTGACCAATCTGGCCACAGTCACCCCTGGCGAGTCCATCTCTTTGCCGGTCTCTTTCCCGTTTTGCGCGGAACATCGGTCTCTATTAGCTCATTTAGTTCTACCTCATCTCTTGCAAAATAGTTCCGCCGCTTTGAGCAAGGTAATTTCCCGGCTTTCATTTCGAGAAGCTCGATCAATTCATGGCGTGCCAGCACACACCACCCTCCTTGTTTCAGCGGCGCTCAAATACAATGGAGGGCTGGCGTTATAAAAGAGTCAGGGGACGACCAACCCCCAATTCTACACAGGTCACATAACCCGCGTTTTGGCAATCACGAGGTGACCTCCCCCCCTTCTCCTCAGCTGCCAGAGGTTATGACAGCATGCGTCGATCCAGTGACATGAGGTCCACGTCGCTGCAAGCGGTAGGTCCTGACTGTTATAGTGACAAAGTATACTCACCTGTAGGGTGGCGCCACAGATGCACTGAGCTCCAGGCTGCTCGAGGCGTTCGCGTTCCGTGGCCCGTTCATCCCGATCTGCGCGTGGAGCGCGGGTGCCCAAGGCACGTTTGACTTCGAAGTGAAGTATGTCCTATCTCCCCATTCTTTCGAACATGTTAGGCAATATTTTAGAAGGTATCCTTGACGTGTCAGAGCATCAGCACTGTTCGCTCGGTCCGTTCACTTGCCAAGTTTCACCGTTGGAGTTCAACGTCCATTGGATCCTTCCATCCCATTCTTGACCTTGCACTGCCCCGTTTCCTGCCTTCCGAGCGGGTACGGCACGACACCCGACACAGCACCTAATGCGTGCGACCCTGACTTCCAACTCCGGATCTTTTCGGACTCCTTAACCGTTCGACGTCCAAATAACCTCACAGCTCGGATGCCGAAGTGTACGTCGACCATCGGACTTGTCGAAGGGATCGGAAAGTACTTCCTATCATCTCCCGCCTTGTTCGTCGTGGTCCGAAGTCCCGAGTGATATTACAGATCGACAGCTCCTCGAAGCCCTGGCGTGTGCCCAGTCTCTCAGGAATCGTGGTCTAGACTGTGGTGCCACTGTCGGCCGATGATGGCTCATAGCGAATTGAGCGAGAGTCCTTCAGATTTGATCTAAACTCAAATATTGAAGCAAAGGTGCGTTACGGAAATAAAGTTCCTGGCAGAAAATCATGGACCAAAATCTGCACACCAGCCAGTCACTGTGCCCGCCTCACGACCCTCCGCTGGTACCACTGATCCAAGACACGAGATAGGCTACTTCAAGTTCTTGTGTTAATCAGCAACGTCGCATTAGAATCACCTGCAATGATATTGCCTTCGCAGCGATTATTGTTAGCTACCCATCCTCAAAGCTATCTTATTGACTGTTCATTATCAGCCATCTTTTTTTAACCTATGAGGATCAATCCTCAAGCTCCGCATTGCGTTCCCCAAGCCATCGGTGCATCCATTTTTCCTGTTCATCTTTAATAGAATCCACATTGGATGATGGCGGGATCACCACCTGACGACCGCAACTCACCACGAACATTTCCAAACAACTTTTTGCTCCGCTGATTTCCACTGCTAAATGGATCACACATATCGCTGTGTGACTGTTGATCTCGCTCTCGTGATCTACGTCTTATACCCACTGGCAGTTTCACTCATTCATCCGTCGTGCAACCTCTAGTTGTCTCTCATGTGCATCTTCTCGCCTTTTCTTGATCGTCAAAGCTTTGGGGATGTTATCCATCTCGCGTTCGCTCACTCACTGGGGAGGGGAACTTCCCCACCTGGGGAATGAAGACAACTCTATCTATTCTCGGCCCCACAGTTCCAGGCGGTTTGGATAATCGTGAGATAGTGTGAGATGCGGGCGCCCGGAGCCGGCCTCCACTACGGCATCGACTCATCGTAGCGACGATTCACACCATGCCCACTCTCTCTCGTGTCTCTCGTCCACGGCATTTCTTTGAAAAATTCCTCACGGCCCCTTTGCCCTCTCGTAGGCTCCATCCAACTCTCGGTCATCTTGATATTAACGTGTGAAGGTAATTGGTGGGTGTGGGAATTGTTAAGGATCTGGCACTTGATTCCCTATGGATCAATAAGTGATCCTTCCCTGGATTCGATTTGCGTGGCCAGCTGCTAATTGTGCGGAACGTGTGTAAATTTCACGACATTACACACACATAACATACGGGACGCGGGAGTTTCTTCACATTATTCCACTATCAACTTTTTTTTTCGTATTGTTCATTTAGGCCGGAGCATGGGGGTCAGTGTTATTCCTTCTCGTGAATGGAGGGGACTTTGTCTCTGCGTTTATTTTTAATTTTCGTGGCAATGACATGATTGCGTAGTACCCACCCGATCGATCCGGCGTCGCTGAGTTGACGTTAATGTCGTGCTTAAGCTATGTAGATATCACTTATCAACTGTTCTTCGTCCTGTCAACCGAACCGTATTGATCGGGATCGATTTTCGGATGTGATCCATATTGATTTAATGTGCCTGTATTTTTGGGGTTCAGGCAATGGTTACATCGCAGTGCCCGGAAGAAAGGATCGGATGCAGGAAATTGAGAAGAGGTGTAGGTAGGGGAAGGTGAGAAGGGGGTCCGACGAGGTATGTTGCGTCTGCATGCATGTATTACCATGATCCGCTGTTGTCTTTTGATAGCGGAGAATTTTCAGCATTTGACATGCGCTTTGGATGTGCAATTGTGGTTTCTATTGCGTGATATCCCTCCCGTCCTACCTGTCTTGTACGGATGATGGTTCTTCTCGCGAGTCATACACCATGGAAGATGTACGCAAAAACATTTATAGTATGTGATTTCGCACTACAAGTAGTTTATAACTCCACGATCATGGTCTATATATGTTTGACAAGTTAGGGTTGGGCAGTGTCAGCCCACATTTCATCAACTCGACGAATATTTGCAATGTGTTTACCACTGCAATATTATGTATCACTATAGAAAAATGGCTCTACTGGTATTCCACACCTGTGCACGGTCATAACATTGATCCAAAAATTGGCAAGGTGGAAATATTTCTCCAAGAATCAGGCAGATACCACTAATTGGCCTATCCGTGCGAAGACCACCATATTTTGCGTGAGCCAGCACCGCATTATGCAAGGTTTGGTTTGTACTTTTATTGATATATCAGAGGCGACAATGACACACCGAAACTAGGCGAGGTGAGGTGCGAAATGAACGCGGGGCCGGGGATCGACGCATGGTATATAGTACTGGCAACAATGCACGTATGTACAAACAATTTTGGATGTTTACTTGTTCTCCCATCTGTCATGATTCGATCGAATATATGCAATATGCAGCTATGGAGGAGTAAATATTGCGGCTGGGCGGTACAGGCGCGCACAGCACATGAAAAATGGACACGTACTAGATCATTGTTCAATATGGGCACTGCCAGCGGAATCGATCTTTCCGCTGCCGCCACACATCGCCAACCGGAAAAACTCGAACGGTGTTGCGGGAGGTGGAAACGGAAGCGGAAAAAACACAAAAAAAGGGAAGCCTTTTTCGCGCGCGCGCGGTTCTCATAGCTTTAAGTAACCACGCAGCCATGCACGCATATTGATCGAGAGCGAGTGCGCGCGCTCATGGGATGTAGTACGTCCCTAGATATCATGCATGCGTAAATTCCTTAAAGCCAGTTCGGAACCGACACTAAGTATGTACTGATTGAATCAACAACAAGCATATGTATTCCACGAGACCCCGGCCGCGCAATCCCATCATCATTATAGAAATGTCGCGCGTACAGGCAACCGCACATGTACATATATGGTCCTTACCTCCACATCTACAAGCCGTTTTTCCGGAATTCGAGATAAGTAATATAATTGAATCAATTAAAACTCTCCCAGGTACTTCACTAGTGACTGAATATATTCAATTATACATTACATTATAGAAATGCGGAGGCGGCGCATCATGCGCATGGTGGGCGCCAGGCGTCTTGATGCGCGCAGTATGACTGCGAATGTATATAGCGCGCGCGATGTGGATGAGATCGCGAAGGAGATCATGTCATGGTCGACAATTTTATTTATGTGGGTTCATTTAATTAAGCGCCCGCTAAGGGGATCATGCATAATATAATTCGACGCGAATTGTAGAGACTGAGTGAGCATGCACAAGGAGAAGGAGCTGGACGAACCTAAACGGGGCTGTGAATAAGCTAAACTTGATCGATTAGTGAGATGACTCTCGTATACTATTACATGTGTGGCGAAGATATCATGTATTAGCTAGATCGAAGACTTGATGTTAGTAATAGTGCGTGAATCAGTCAGCTGCCATTATATACTGCACTTTTTTTTTTGGAGATTGAGATACAGAGCCAGCCATTGCGCGCGGATAGATTAAGGGGTGGTGGTGAGTTTGTGAGAGTGTGTGTGCGCACGCGGTAAAATGCATGAACATCGTAGCGATTCGGTCATTGTACTCATGCTATGCCATGTCATGTCATGTTCAGGGCCATCAAAAGTGGCCCCCATCAGACCGAGCCAATTGATACACCTTTTTTTTTTGAATTTAGACAATGACGATCAGTTTTGAGCATGCATGGATTAAAGATAATGTCATGTACGCACGCAAAAAGAAAAGAAAAGCAAAAAAAGACCGACCATGAGGACATCGATCGATACTTGCATGATTCATATATATGATCATCATCGATCCCGGCCATCCAACGCGCGTTGTACATTACTTTGAAATCCATCGGGGATGTACGTTACGGCTCATTCGGATCAAGCACAAGCGCAAGCACAACTAACGTCGGTACAACGGCACGAATCTGCAACTCTCAACTGGATACACATGTGGAATTGGTCTTGATCGCGGCGACGTAACGTTTGCTGAGCTGATAATAATGATATATATATGGTACATGCAAGAATGCAATGGAAGTCGACCGAGTGTTCCGACCCGGAGTGTCAACCCGATCGAAGCGAAGCAAAAGGGTTCGATTGATACTTAACGGGCCCAACACCGGAATCAGACATCAATATTAAGCCGGGATTGGAAATGGGTTTTTTTTTTGGTTAACCCGTAGGCGGAGACAGGTGGGTTGCTGTTGCTAAGAATTGATAAAGACGTTGAAGGGGGGGGAGGGTTTCGGGCTCGGGCTTGGTGGGTTTGTCTGTGAAAAAACTATATATGGACGTGCATGTTGCACAAGGGGCATATACGACCGAAATGAACATACCATCGCGAGATTCTCCGATGTGGAATTGATTGAATCGGGAATCTGAATTTGATTAGTAAAAGAGGTTTTAGAGCTGGGGTGGTGGTGGTGATAGTAAAAGGGGGAAGCATAAGGAGTAGAAGCTAGTAGCTGGATGGGTAGGAGCAAAGAAGAAGATGCCGGTACGGAAAGGAGAAAAAAAAGGGGGGAGTAGAAAGGGTGAGTAGAGCAGGGCCGGGTGCATGTGGGTGTGAGATGCGTGGGCATGTGAGACCAAGGATCGGGCATTCCATCGTGTACTCGGCAATATTTTGTAGATACGCATAACATTACCATTGCTTATTGATGCAATATGCCCAAAATGTCAAGAGCACACTCGTTTACCTGTGGTTCTTTCTTTCTTCCCTCCCCCCCGGATCGAAGCTGGCAGTTGTGCATGGATGCACTGCCATCAGGCGGCCGAAGCTGGGCACTTAAACCTTTTGAGGAGTTTCTTTGGGGGGGGAACCGATATTGTACCGGGAGAGGTGCAAAAGATGTGCAGGGGCGCAAAAAAATTGCAAAAGAATAATTTGATTAAGTAGGGTCTTGTCGCTGTCCGAACTCTTTGCGCTGACAGCTCTCTCTTGAACCCATCCGTGTATATATTGCTGAGATCCGGGTGTGCAGTGATTATTTTGTGATTTTGGTGGCGTGACACCGGTGCTGGCGTTCCGTTTTGCGATGCCAAGGGGTTGTGTGTGTAAGAGAGAGGGATAGTGAGTGGCTTATGTAAACTTGCGCAAGCGGTGGCTCACTTACGGTTCTAAACCATTACATCATTCACTCGTTGAAAGGTTGTCGCGGCGCTGTGCAGGTGAGATCGCACAGGCCGCCGCCTTATGGATCATCATATGTGTAAATAAATGTTGGGGGGCGCCAAGTGTGTGTGTGTGTGTGTGTGATATCTGATATGAACTTTATTTTTGTAATTTGGAACGAGATCCAGTAAGTAATGATAGGAGTAGAGAGAAATCATGAAAATGCTCAATGAAATCGGTTGTTGCAATTGAACATCTTGGCGAGGGAGGCCGGTGCCTGTCTAACCCTTAACATCATCGGGTAAAAAGCATTATCATGTTTGGATATCAGACGAGCGCGCACCTTTGATAAGGATTAGTACAGGGCAGCTGAGCGAGCGCGTCATGATGCGCGCTTAGGGATTGCGCAAGCGTAAGCGATATATATATGGGGACGAATGATCATGTTACTGCATGCATGCATGCATGCAAAGAGGTGGATACGGGTTAGCCCTCCATGCAGCATGAACAAAAAGGCTGTGTCATGTGTCATATATATATATATATCTGTATAGCGCCGGCAAATCGTGAAGCTTGCATGCTCTGCTACGGACGCAGCAACCACTGCTGCATTGCATGCCGGCAAAAAAAAAAAAGCAGATCGAGCAAACAACGTTAGCGACATGAGGGGCGCATGCTTCCCGCAACCGGCTGCGGTTCAGATGCGGTAAGAGCTATTAGCCTGATCCGATGCTAATTAGGGGATTTGCGTATGCGGTGAGGCCAGGTGTTTCGTTTTAGGCAAAAAAACTCGTGTTGATCACTCCGACCCTGCATTCATCATATTATTGCAATGTTCATTGTGTGTGAGTTAAAAAAACAAAAAAACAAACAAAAAAAGTATGTAGCTAGTTACAGTTATGTATGTGTGTGTGTGATTATTGTACGGGGCACACGGGTACTTCGGACGCTGGTGGTTTGGGGTTATCATATCGGGATTGGGGGAGCGGAATTCGAATGGAAATAGGAAATTGAACGGAAGTTGGGGATCGAGAACGGAAATTCGAAGTTGGATTGCATGGAGAAGGACCGAAGGTAAGGATACGATGCAAGGAAGCCTCGTTGGGTTGAGATGTTCAAGCACCTTTTTTTTCTTATTTTCTCTTTTGGCACTTGGCGTTGTACATTAATTGTATGATAGGGACGGTTTGTGTGTGTGAAAGTTTTGCGGGCAGCAAGACGAGTAATTTTTTTCGCGCGTGAGGGGGTTACGCGCATGATCCAAGGAAGCGGAACGGAACGAAAGTTGCCGGTCGCATCACTTGTTATCGGTTGAGATGGGGGGGGAGATCGATTAGGATGGTTGGGGCGCTCTGGACGGGAGATTGCGGCACTTGGCCGATGGACCCGCATCCACGGGTATATTCCGGTTACTGTAAAGGGAATGGAAGGTCTAGTTGTGTGCGCTAATCAGAAGAGTGAGTTAGGCGCTCGCGTGGGATGATGAGGATGGAGGGGAGAGGTATAGTAGCTTGTGTGTTCAAACCAAGTGTTTACGCGTAACTGTGTATACTTATTTGGCAGAGTGTGCACAGGCGATTACGCGTCGGTAGTTTCCCGCAACTCTGCCATGCATGCGCAGTTGCGTTCATCTTTCCGGGTGGTCGTTACATTTTGGGAAGCGAATCCGCGCGGCGCCCGGATAGTTTTTCCTTCTCAAGTCAAACAGCGCCTCCACCACGCAATAACTTGGACACGAGGCCGTCCCAGCGCAGCAGCATATTTTTTTTCTTTCTTTTTTTGGCTTTGATCGTTACACAGCACACAACTGTAAGGTCGACACCGCGGCGCAGACTGAGACCGTGGTGAAGGAACGGACCAAAGCGCTTTGTTCACAAGCAGAGAATATTTGTGAGACTATTTTTTAATAGCCCCCCCCCTCCAGTTATCTTTTATCATGGGGCAAAGATATGATTTTTTTTATCAAAGCACGGGAAACTTTATTGATTTAGGACCGTGATAAATAACGTGCATTGCCTCAATCGGATGATATCTATTCATTTTAACTGAATAGGTAATTCCATTTTTGTTTTATTCTCACAAGCAAAACAAAAAAACAAAATGGAAAAATGGAAAAATGACCAAGTCCGAAAGGAGTCACACGCATTGAATTTATAATAATTGATTATTCCCGCGGGGCTTCCTTTCCGAGGTCGCAGCTTCGCCTGGGCCCAGCGTCATCTTACTCTCTCTCTCTCTCCCCCGCGTCTACTACTTAAAAGCACACCTCAAATGCACCAAGCGCTCAACTATCTCCCCTCCTCTCAACCCATCAAAGCGCCTCCCCCTTCTCCCCCTAGTCATTTGCGCTTCCTCTTTCCGTGCGCTTATCAAGTGCCATTTGCCTCACCCCTCACTCTAGTCATTCACCGTCGCTTTGGCAATTCCATCCAGTCCAAAGCACCCTTCGAGTCATAACAAAAAACAGCTTTCAAAGCGAACATCCGCGCCCTTATCTCAAACCTTTGGTGAGTATCTATAAAGCCCGGACCCGTGTCCCTTGTCCCTTGCCCCTGTGTCCTCCTCCTCCCCCCTTTCCTCAAATCCTATATCAAACCTTCGTGCTAACTCATCTTATCCCCTTCTTACCAGTCAACTTGCAATGGTTGCACTCGTAGCACACAACAACAACCAAGTACCCGCGTTCCCCTACACCCTCTTACCACCACCACCACACGCTTCCTCCTCCACATCATCACCTCATTACTACGGATCATCCTCATCATCAAGTTATAGATCCGCTTCAACTTCAGACCCCTCTAGGCGTCGACATGTTCTCGCTCAACATCGATCGAGACGACTTTCAGCCATCTCCGGTGGTCTCGGCACCGGCCTCGGTGCCGGGATGGCGTATCATATGACTCCTCCTCCCAGTCTTACCACCAGTGATGGTTTCTCTAGCGATGAAGAAGACGAGTTGGACGATCAGTATGCTGCTTCGTCGTCCCGAAGACGATCCATCGACTCTGAACGATCCTTTGGATCTTCTCATCGTCGTAGTTCTTCCATCTCTTCTACCCGCACTCCAACTTCCTCTTCAACCGCGTGGTTCAATCAATCATCATGCAATTCCTTGTTCCCTTCTTATTCCCCTCCAGATCCTTCGTCCCCTTTTACCGAAGATTATCATTACATGCATCAAGGATGCCAACAGGAGGATGAAATCTTGTACGAGGATGATGGGAAGAACAAGTATCGAGGTGTGAGGATATTCCGTCGCCGCGGTGGGTCGATATCGTCAGAATTGAGCCGGGTGGAGTCGAGATCCGAGTATGATGAAGATGACTATCGGCAGTCTCATTCGTCGTGAGTTTTTTTTCTTTTCACTCACTCGCGATTCTTACACTTAACACACACTCTCTTTGGCATTCAGAGCGAGCTGCTGGGACTCTCTTTCGGTCCGTGTTCATCTGGGGGTGTACCGTGCAAAGAAACGGATTGCGAACAAGTTGATGCCTTCGAGCGGTGCAAAGGGTCAATAACCCTAAAAAATCCTACGGCACTATTCGATTCCTTTCTCTTCCTATCGCATCGCATCGTTTATATCGGTTCAATCTATCGCATCTATCGCATCTATCAGTCTCAATCCATCCATCTGTTTCCATTTAATCCCAATCTTGCAATTCATCTCGGTCCCGATTCCCATTTTTCACGATGGATTTGGGAACTTGACTCGACACGACTCGACACGACGCGACACGACTGCAACGGATACCCCCCCCCAAACATGCATTCCTCCAACCCTCCTGAAACCTGACCTGTGCTCAAACTTTTATCTGCCTTCTTCATTCATCATCATCACCGCCTCAATCGATTTCGTGTATCAAGTTATTATCGGTTTTATCACAACAAATCAAGCAAGCAAGGAAGCAAGGCGAATCCTCCTTTTTTTGGTTTTTCTCTCCCCTTCTGGTTTCCAGTTTCTTCCCCTCTCCCCCCCGCGCGGTTAGCTTCCAACCATATAATCTGTACAGCGACGACGGATCTTCAGATCTTCTTTCATCTGCGGAATCGCCACGCCACAACACATCAATCTGTATCATTAGCCCCTTTCCCCTCCTCCCAAGACTCCTTACGCCCGCATATCCACGCCTCATGACAACGCGGCGCCCCCCCTTCCCTTCCCTTCCCATATCCATCTGCATGCCCCCGCTTTTTGGTTTCTTTGCTTTTGTGAACTCGGTTTCTTGTAACTCCTTTTTTTTTTGTTAACACTTGCTCTTCGAGCATCGGGCGTCGACTGTTAGTACAGAGAAAGCAACCGCCTTTCGGTCACGCATCATGGAGGCGCGGGCGCGGAAACGGCGATGTTTTTCTTGTTTGTTTGTTTGTTTGTTCGGGTTCGGCTTCTTCAAATCACACTTTTTTCAAATCACACACACGCATACCACAAGCACGATTTAACCAACATGCATGCACGACTTTCTCGGCGGACTTTCTCTTTTCTTTCTTTCACACAACATTCCGGATATCTATCTAGTGTCCCCCCCCCTTTTTTTTCGTGTTTCCCCTCTCCCTCCACACCCCCCTTTGTATCGGATATCGTAGTTTCCGGTTTGCCACACACCATCAGTTTTCCTTTGTACCGGTGGTTAACACCGCCGGTTCCTCCATCCGGACTTTCACAAGCTATATTCATAAATCCGGTACCTTCCTTTATAACTCCTAGCTTCACCTTAGCTCCTCATCTTTACTTTTATCGCCTCCTTTTCTCTTGCTTGGATGTTGTGCAAATCAAGTTTGAATATAACAAATTTCATTCGGTAAACATAATAAATGGCTGTGGTTGAGGCGTTTGTGTGCGGTTCTTGATTGGGCGTAAAAAGACGTTGTCGTATTTTTTCAAACATTTACTGGGTACTTGGGGGATCCGTGGGGCGGCGCAAGTACGTACGTGGCAGTGAGTTGACGCGTTAGCGGGGCAGTGTGTGGAGAACTTGCAATTATGTAATATTGATAACGAACACCCCCCCCACTCCGGGTAACACCGATCGTTCTTCCTCCTTCCGGCCGGCTTGCTTGTACCTCCACCGCCCGTTAGCCGTTGCCGTACGATCGATAACACATGCATGACGTAAATATATACATACATAAACACGCCGGGTGGAAGACCGTATACATATGTATGTTGATTTTTGATCTCGGGATCCGTCTCATATGCCGTTGTGCCGGCCATAACTTCAACTGCGTGGCCGGGGCCCTTGCAGCCACTTGGTTTGGATCGATCATCGAAATATTGATGATGCCGTTGACGCGTAACTACGTATATGTATGTGTGCTATGTATATCATGGTACCACTAATTACTTATCTGATTACAGGCTTGGTGTGTAAACTATTCATGGAGTGGGCTATAACGATGACAAACTTGTACGTAGTTAACGTGATGTCGATATGGTAATGCTACGCAGAATTTATGGTTTTGCAGCCTTCCCCAACCCCCCACCCCTATAACATCTTACTGCCAAAGTACTACCTATATACTCTCGGCACTTCTACTGAATCTTGCTAGCGTCTTTACTTACAATCCCTGTTCAAAGTCAAATATCTTTGTTTTTGTTTTTGTTTTTCACCGGAAAGTTGTTTCTCACCCCCCCCCCCCTCCCCCGCCCCCAACTAGCTGGCCGTTTCTCATCGCACTTTTCGCATTGTACATATTATTACCCTCGTTTGTAGATCTAGATCTAGGTCAACTGTAATCAGTAAATTCGCACGAACGAACTGTGTTTTTTTTTCTTCTCACCTTTGCATCATGGATCCCGCCCTTATACTCATAGACTTATCTACACCATGACCGGGTCCCGGACACTTGGGGGGGGGGTCAATGCTTGTAAATTGCATTTTTTTCTTTTTACGCAGTCGGGGACTCCGGGCCCGAGTCGCCACTTGGTCGAACATTTTGATTAAGCGCCCATGGATGGATGTACGGATTTGTGTTTCTGTAGGTAGGGCCGTAATCGACGGGTGCATTCGTTCGAATATTATCTTTTGGGCCAAAGTCCACTACTTCCACATCCCACGTTGAGTGTAGCTGTTGTGTGTGTGTGTGTTGGGGGGTGCAGGTGCCGGTGTGGGGAAGGTTGAATTGCTCTTTTGGGAATGGGCTGGGAAAGAAAACCGGGAAGAGGGCTAGCTTTTTTCACATGAGTAGTTAGTTATCCTCATCGTGGTAATTAGGCCCAGGGTGAAGGGAGATGGACATGATGATATTCATGCGTGCTTGCGTTAACGCGTATGTATTATACGTGTGTGCTTGTACGTGCAACGCCGTGGTTGGCTTCTTGAATTCCTATGTTCCAAAGGCAAGGCCGAAACGGAGACGTCTCCGTGCAAGCATACGCCATGAATGGCTGACGCATAATTGCGTACGTACCCCCCTGTCGTTTTGGGTGCGGTGGGAACTTGGGAGTTGGAATTACAAGTGTGTGTATGTGCATAAGTAGCGGGAACTACTATTTTCCACGGAAACTCACTTGCACAACCGATGGGAGCTCGGCATTTGAGTCGAATCCTAAAAGGAGCTGCCCCAGCTATTTAATTATACCCTCGGCGCGGGTGACCTGAGCAATACGCGTTCGTAGATCCCAAATTGAGATACAAGTTGCGTCATGCACTTGTACGAAGCATAGTAAGCAATTATATTGAGCCGGCCAATGCGCCGCGTGTAGGCAGGTGACCAGCGCCGCGTGCGGGGGTGCCGATGCAAGGTAGTTGTACATAACTCGCATGGCGCGGTTGAGTATTTTTATGGCTTGGGGGGGGGGGGGGGGATTAAAGGACCCATCAGGATCCCGGCCGTTATCGATCAATCGTCATGAGCGCTTACCTGCGGTGGAGTTAGGCACAACGCCAAATTGCGCACTGTATGGGGGTAACTTTCCGCACTAGCCGAAGGAACGACCTGCCATATATGCGTAGTACCGGGGTTGTTAAGCCAAGGACTTGTGACTTGGCGCACAAGAAGGTTGGGAAGATACATTCATTGAGGTCGCTGGGCCGAGTCAACATAATGGAAGCGTAGATTCGCATAAACTCGCCGAAATACCTGCCATATTGAGTAGGACTTGTGACTACGCGCTCAAGAAGACTGGGGGGTAAAGCGTTCATTGCAGTGGCTGCGCTGAGTCAGCTCGCATTGGGGCGGCTTCGTACACTGGCCGAAATACTTGCCATATTTGTGGCTTCGCGCAGATAAGTGGATTGGGGAGAATGCATTCATTGCAAAGCGCGCATAAGTTGGGTGTGCGCCTACGTACACCTCGTGGGAATCGGACCACATAATTTGGATCGTGAACATCGGAAGGAAAGATGAATTTCGCGAGGTGCGAAATATAATATGAACTGGCACTCGCGAGTCGTGAAATGCTGAGCCCGAATCATATTGGGAGTCTAAAGCGCCTAAGATAATGTGGGGCGGGTGCAAACTTTCTTCGAATATTGTAGCAAAAATTCCGGACGAACAGCTTGGGATTTGTCTTGAAGTTGTTGGATGTGATATTATATATACATTATTGTTGTAATGTAGGGATTCCTGATAAGGCAATCCGCTTACTTCAGCGGTTATACTCGCGAGACCAGAGGTAAGCTAGAAACTTTTCTGATGATTTTGCTCAATGCACGTCTGTGCGTATTTATACATACATGAAATGTATTACAATGATATTATATGTAAAATAAACTGTTGCGCAAGCGCGCATACGCAAGCACAGACTGGGTGGGAATATTCTGGCGATTTCCCACAACAATCCAGAACTAGAGTGCGTGCCTTCGCACGCGCTGACCTGCACTGCTTTTCAACACCCTAGTCAGTTGTACAGAAAAAAGTGAACCATGATTAAATCATTATTCCACACAAAAAGAGTGCATAGATGTTCTATGCTCAGGAGAGATCCCGAATCATGGCATCGGGCTATGTCAGGTGTGTGGAGACAATAGCGGAAGTGTTCCGGATAATAGGAAACAAATAGGAAAATGGGGAGCAGAAAGAGGACATCAGGACAGCGACTTGGGGGGGACAAGTGTACAAATGAGGATAAGACAAGCGCACTGAAAATTGGTCAATAGTATCGACTAATAAATCTCCTTCCCTTGCCCAAAGCGCCCATGCGGCAGGGCAAGCGGGGGTGCAGCAGCAGTGGGGGGGTTGGACCAAGAGCTGCGCAGTTGGGCATGTGTCTGCTGCATCCCTTCAAGAATGGGCCGCATCGCAGGCTGACATGCCAATTCATGAGTACGACACAGTATTTTAGCAGATGCAGGCTGTGGCTGTGTCATCGGACGCAGCCTAGCACGAGGGGTGCAGATACAAGTAAGGGGAATTTTGGCCAGGTAAGCGCTGACATTGCGAAGGGCAGAGTTCTTCATATTAACTCCTGAAGTAGTTGGGCATTCACCCCTAAACTTGGTACGTGGATAGATCTAATTCTCCTCTACCAAAAGAGCCCAAAATCAAGCCTCAGAGATTCGTAGGTGACGCTCACGTTGGGTTTTGCCAATCTCACTTGATTTTCAGCATGACTCACTTGATTTGTCTACCAATTGTACATTATAAATATAAAAGTCACAAGGTCATGAAACCTAAATGGAAAATGAACACGTCAGCACAAGTGGCAGAAATGGTGTAATTTCACCCGGATGGCTGTGCAGGTAATACAATGCGGAATACAACACATAAGCAAAAGTGGCACGTTTTACATAATTATGGGGGAGGCAGAGTGACCTGCAGTGCAGGTAATGCCCCGGAAGGTTCCGGTGACTCGTGACTTCAACACTCCCCCTTGAGTCATGTATCCTGTACAATAATGGATGCAGAACCAGACTCGAACCCAGCTGTTTCCGCTTCGTGGACGCGCACTGCAGAATGTTAGAAAATAACTAAGTCCCCTTTGTATTACGATTCAAATGTCACGTTCTCCGGAAAACTCCGGAAAAAATCCGCCACCAATGAGTTTAATATTTCAATACTAATCACTAGTCACATGCAATGGGGTTAAGAGGCTGATGTCCGATCATCTACTCCGAAAACCAGTGCGTGACACTTCGCTCCAATGACTGGCACAAAAGTTGGGTGGCGGTACATTCGGTCATTTCCGAAATATATTCTCATCTCAAAAAGGCATTCCTCACAAGCGCCAAAACACCCCCTCATCCCTCCACCATCTTTCACACCCATGAACGTGCCTGTGGAATGCATTGAAGATGTCCTTAATCCTATGGAATGCGTCAAGACACCTTCCACTGAACAGATAAGGGCCCGAAGTGAGGCAGAATGGGGCCGATGTGCCTGTTGGTTCCAAACAGAAATTGCTGAATTCCTCCTTCACAAGCTGAAGCAAAATCTAGTATCAACTGCCGCAACAGGAACTGGAAAAACATACACTTTCTTCCTTCCTGCACTCTATGAAAAAGATGGAGTTTCTTTCATTATTGCACCACTGAGAAAGCTTGCAGATCAGCATGTAGACAGTGCCAAGAGCTTAGGACTCACCGCAATTGCATTGGAAGCAAAAACTATAAACAAGGATATTGTAAAGGCATGTAATGAGCAGTGATTAATTGCACGTCATAAATTGAAGTTACTTGCTGAGTAGGAGATCAGTCGTATGAAATATTGATTTGTTGTTTTGGGCCCTGATTTACTTCAGGGGAACCTCCTTAGAACTCTATGGGTGAAAGAGAGCTTTGTCAGTAATGTTAACCGAATCATCATCGATGAAGCACACTGTGCAGTACAATGGCTGTCATTCCGAACCCAGTATAAAAGCTTGACCTGGCTCTACTCATACCTCCGGAACAGATGCCAATGGTATCTCACATCTGCGACAGTGGACCCTCGATTGTGCAGAAAAGTGTTATCAGTGATTGGAATGGACCCATCGTATAGCACTCATGGCAGAAAGACAACACAATGGCTGCGTCGTTCCAATGACTGGCCAAATCTTCATTACTGTGTCCGTCAGATGCAACACAGCAAAGAGTCTTGCAATGACTTAGCATTCCTCGTTCCACTAGGCCTCAAAGAGTCTGATCCCCTTTCTACCCCATTTCTTGTCTATTGCGAAACCCGGGCTGATGCAGAGCACAGTGCCAACTTTCTGAGGTCATGAGCATGTGTGTCCCTTCGTGAGAAAATCACCTGGGTGCATTCTGGAATGTCTGACAGACATAAGTTAATGGTGGTCAAGTTGCTTAAGGAGGGAAGGCTGATTGGACTCACTAGTACGGAGTCGCTGGGATTGGTAACTCTCCTCAGTCCTCCCACATTATAAATCTAATCAAAGTTGAACAGGGGCACGACCTAGCAAATATTACCCGCTTAGTCCAGTTTGGGCTGCCAGACAACTTAAATACATTGACTCAGCGATTTGGAAGAGCAGCTTGTAATCCCGAAACTTCGGCAGTCGTTGTCCTTCTTGCCCCGAAAGATTATTTTGAGCAGACCTGGCGGCAGCGAGAGGAAAGGGCCCAAAAGATAGCAGAGAACAAAAAACAGAAGGCTCAAGCGGTAGCCTCCAGTGAGCAGATATCAAATGCTGCAGGCAACGAGCACTGATGAAGAAGGGCTTCAAACAATCACCTCAATAATGTCACTTCAGCAGTACATCCAAATTTTGATGATGACTTACTTGAACTTCATTGTCCGGATCCTGATCTTCCACCCAGGATGGACATTTGGCCTTCCAGCGACATCGAGATTCCACAAGACGCTGCATTGGAACATGCAGATGTGTGCGAACCTCCACGCACCCTAGGAGAGAATGAAAGCGTGGGTTGACATTAACAGATCTTGAGGTGTTCCTGGAGAGCATCGAGAAGGATCTCGATGGAGGGTGGGACAATTTGGAGCCAGAGAATCATAGCAGAGCAAGTCAGTGGCCCATGTCATGAACTTTGAGTGCAAACTCACCAATACAATTTAGATGCCGTGGATGAATTAGAGCTGGGCTTTTCCATTGATATCGGCCAGAATGAGGACTTGTGCGGTGAGGGTGATGAAGGGCGCGTTACAACCAGGCCACCCAAGGAAGTCAAGAAACGAATATATCGAAAGGACCCCGGAGACCAGGAGAAGGTTGACCCTGGATTGGATGCATTCATTAATGCCCATTGGCTCTCAAAGGATGACCCTCGCTATGGGTGCAGGAGGAAAGTGCTGGACGTTCACTTCGGTAACCACTGTATCCATATGTATTATGATTTGCCATACGGACATGTGCTGCCAACTCACCAGATCTTATGTCAGCAACACCTTGCCAGTGCTGTGATCGCTGTGACTTATGCAAGCCTATCTCTTGCTGCGATCTCCATGCTCTGGATCTCACTGCTTCGATGTTCAACCAAGAACTTACAGAACAGCCAGCCAAATGGCAACCTCAACATGCAAAAGCTAACTATGAGAAGGATGTTGAGCGTTTGTCCAAGCTGGGCTCAGCACTCCAAAGCTGGAGAAAAGAGGAGTTTTCTCAGCGTTATTCCGATCGCCTGGACAACATGTGGATCAGCGACTGGGTAGTACTTGGCAACAATATCATCGATGATATCATCTATCTTGCTAATTGCAACAGACTCTTGAACATGCAAGATTTTGTACAGCTCGTTGATTGGGTTGAGCGAGCCTGTTATGCTTCAAAGTTGTTGCCGATCATTCACAGGATCTTCCCATTGCCTACGCTGGCATCTGCTCAACTGCCAGCACCCACTCGATCATTGACCACTACAGAAAGTGTCACTACAGTTCACTCTCGCACAAAAAAATGTAGCAACTGCAACAACTTTGGTCACAATGGTAAGCTTGGCTCAACTGGCTGTATTCCACTGGCTAATGTGGCTGCATCAGCTCGAACATGCCCTGAACCTTGCAAAGCCTGTCGCCAGCGTGGTCACACGAGTAAGCTGCCATGCTAACTTAGATAAACATTTCATTTTGCATTGACATCGAATCAGAGAACCGTTGCCCAAACAAGGAAAACTCCGCCACTCGATCAGACACAGCTGCTCAATGAGGACATATCATTAATTAATATCAAGCTGCTAAATCACCTGCATCTAATTCGTAAGTGTCATCATCCATTGAATCCGTTGATTGCAACTCGCTGATACTGAGGGGACCCCACATTGTGCCATTCTGGTACAACTGTAACCCCTTTTGGAAATGGTCTTCAATTAGAATAGGGGAGGTTTGTCCTTTCTCGTACTTGTGAGGACGAAGGTTACGAAGATCATTTTGTATAGTGACCAATCTGGAACCTATGTTGGGGCTCACATGATGAAGCGTTTTCTCAGGTAAGTGGTAATCTGCCTCCACGTCTTCAATGCAATCTCTATATGATTGAATTATTGATGATTGACTAATGATATACTCAATTGTTTTCCCAGACCCTGTTCCTGAATAGACGACCTAATATATATCATTGCACTGCATACTTTTGGAATTGCCCTTTGAGTACTAACCTTTATGTAGAGATTCATCAATTCAACCAACCAGTCAATCGCCTGAAAGCCGCCCTCTTTCCCCAAAGGATTACAGAGCCAGTATCTCTTGATCGCTTCTTGAAGTGGTGCTGGATACTGATGCAACTTGAACAGGAAATTGGAAAGGAATGACACGTACTTATGTTTCCCACACCCCTGGAAGATCGGAATCCAGAAAGCAAGAACGTTGATCACAACGTCAACCATCCCAAAGTTCATTGCATGCATGAGGATGTGATAATACATCGCATCTCTATTGAACATGACTTGGTTCATATGCCTTTGGTCTTGCTCTTTTCGCTGCAGCCAATCCCTCGTGTGTTGTTTTGTCTCAAAATACTCTGTTGTGATTTGGTATGCACACTGGCTGATCTCTTCCAAGCTTGGCTTGGAGGTGATGAATTTTTCGAGATCCCCACCCACATTCTCTGCCCACACATCGAGAATTGTGCATTGGGTCACATAATTTAATCCATCATTCATCATCCGAAAAGGTGGGACAGGTTTGTTTAATTTGGAATGATCATTTGGGAATAGCATGCAGAGGCGCTTATAGAGCCCATTTGGGTCGCTTTGTAAGTCATTTCCAATTGCATGGATTTGATTGATTGCATCAATGCATGCCATTCTAACATGAAAGAGTCCTGGTATATAGGCACAAGATAGTGCATGCGTTTGAGTGTACTCTCTTCAATCCACCGTGAATGCAAAATCGCCTCGATCTTTTCGACTGTACCAAGATCCCCATGAACAAGAATGGCATACTTCTCGAAAGTCCCTGCATTTACTATGCTGCTTTGTTCAAGCAACGACATAATTGCATCGATATTCCCATTGATGGTGGACGCTTTCGCATACACTGCCTCCGCTGTCGAGTACAATGTTCGGTGGGTTGGCAATTGGAATGTTGATGGGGGGTCAATGAGATGGGATCGTAGTTCAGGGAAGTATCTTTCGATGAATACTGATGTGACATGCCATTGACAATGTTCTGCGAGCTTGAATGTAGCTTCACCCATTGGCAGAATATCGAAATAGGACATTGGACATTGGACATTAACAGCATTGGGGTTATTTGGGTGAGTGTCCCATATTCTTTCTGCATATTCTAAGTGCTCAGGAAGCACTTCCTTCGGTGGTGCAAAGAACAGTCCGGTTGTAATGCTCTCAAATGTGTGGTCTTTGAGATCTGTTGGCTGGCCAACACTGAACTTGAAGTTGCAATTGTCATATGCAAGGTTGACAATTCGAGTATGTCCCAGGCCTTTATTCAATATCCTTTGGTTTCTGATCAGCGATGCTCGAAGGTTGTTGGCTGAAGACAGGGAAACTGCAAGTCCAGCATGCGTGGCCCATTGACAAACTGATTTCGAGGCATTCGAGGCAGCCAAGTAGAACGAGTTTTTCACTTGAAGTGCATTACAGTGGTTGTTGGAACTGTTCATGATTATAGACATAATCACAACTCCTTTCTATAATTCGGGTAAGTCATCCATCCTGCTTATTTCATGTGCTATTGCTTACAACTTTGAGCAGAGCGTGATTTAGCTCCTGATAGTTCCCCTTTGACTGTGTCCCCACACTAACATGATCCCCATAATTTCCCTCATCTCTCCCGGCACCCATCTCTACACTCAAATATGCGACCTTCGCCGGTTGTCCCACTGATGGCTTACTTTCCAACACAAGGAGCTGTTGGAACAACACCCAGAGTGCTGGTGCCTTAGACTTAAATAACGGCATCAGTATGCTGATTTTCGCTTGCTCAAGCTGTGCCAGGTGGAGTTTTGAGGCATTCATGTACAGTCCATTCTCCTTTTCCATGAGTATTTCCAACTCTTCCTTATAAATTTCTTCAGCACTTCCGAGAATCCAATTTCTCATGATGGTGGCATGAGAGTGACCAGCCCCAGGATGGAGAATATGTAGTTGTAGGTCTCGTTGTTTGTCGACAAATTGTATGGAGGTTAACATGGATGAGAGAAATGACATGAGGGTGAATCCATGAGCTTTCATGTAGTTAAGGACATCTTTGACACATTCCACAGGCATGTTCATGGGTGTGAAAGATGGTGGAGGGATGAGGGGTGTTTTGGTGCTTGTGAGGAATGCCTTTTTGAGATGAGAATATATTTCGGAAATGACCGAATGTACCGCCACCCAACTTTTGTGCCAGTTGTTGGAGCGAAGTGTTGTGCACTGGTTTTTGGAGTAGATGATCGGACATCAGCCTCTTAACCCCATTGCATGTGACTAGTGATTTGTATTGAAATATTAAACTCATTGATGGCGGATTTTTTCCGGAGTTTTCCGGAGAATGTGACATTTGAATCGTAATACAAAGGGGACTTAGTTATTTTCTAACATTCTGCAGTGCATGTCCACAAAGCGGAAACGGCTGGGTTCGAGTCTGATGCAGAACAGGTCTTTGGGAAGTGGCTTTGTGAAAATGTCAGCCAAGTTGTCGGATGAGCGGACATGATGAATTCTGAGATCACCATGTTCGATTAATTCCTGAATAAAGTGATGCTGTATATCAATATGTTTGCTCCGGCCATGAAATTGGGGGTCACAGGTTAATGCAATAGCCCCACGATTATTGTTGTTGAGATTGAATGGGTGCTCCACATTGAATCCGAGTTCCTGGATGAGCATTTGGTGCCATAGTATATGGTGTGATGTGTGACTTAAAGAAGCATACTTGGCTTCCATGGTCAATAGGGCAATAGTCCCTTGCTTCTCAGCACTCCTGAATAGGGGTAATCTGGGTGCGGGCCTGAGAACTTTTCATAGGCCTGTTTCAGGTGCATTGGGGTAGGCACTGGATTGGAATCAATCATTCCGGCATGTTCAATTATGTCATGAATGTATTGTTCTTGTGAGATCATGATTGAATTGTTGCTCCGGTCTCGGGAAATTTTAATCCCAACAAAGTGATTCAATTCTCCAAGATTGTGGGTGTCAAATTTGGACTTGAGTGTTATCAGCTGGCAGGTATCTGAGTGCGATATCAAGTTGATAGTTAGATATCATGCTCTGGCCAAGTCATGGACCCTTATGTACCTATGTGGGTGGCCAGCCAGAACAAAAGAGTACAAAGTGGCACACAACATGAAGTTAAGAGAAGTCCTTTCCACTGCCTGAGCGGGTGGTTACGATATGTGTGCCCTGGCACGCCACGTCCGCAATAAGGTGCCTAGTGGCCTGTCCTCATCACTGCACTGTGTCAGGTTGCCACGTCAACACTTCCCCTCAACCTGATGTCTGTGCATTAGTCTAGTTCATGTACTCCATCCCTAGCATCAGGCAAAACCGGTCATGCTTTACCTTAGCTAGTGACTTTGTTAGAACGTTGGCAGCCATGTTGTTCATCCCAATGAGTTTGAGATTAATGGCACCATCTGCAACACACTCCCTAATAAAGTGGTACCAGACATCGATGTTCTTGGTTGCATTATGGTTGACAGGGTTTCGAGCAAGAAGATCCGCAGCTCGATTGTCGATGTGCAGGGTCGTGGGCTTTATCGTTCCTCCATGAAGTTCCTTGAGTAGTCTTCTGAGCCATACTGCTTCCTTGGCTGCTTCGGCAGCAGCGACATATTCTGCATGTGTCGAGGACTGTCCGAGACCAGATCAAGACAAAGGAATGTCTCCGTGGTGGAGGGCTTCGGCCTCAGCGACTTATGCCAGGAGCGCTGTGCCAAGTAACACGTACGTGCCCTAACTTACTAACTGGCAACCAGAACTGAAGGGGGTAAACTCTAGTCGATTTTATTACTGGGGTGCAACCTATGTACAAGTTGAGTATATATATATACAATGAGGGCGGGCCTGCAAATGGTGGGGCCAAGCGGAGCGGAGCTAATGGGGTTAAACATTAGCCGATTGAATATTACCGACAAGTCGGGTTACGGGGTTAGCGGAATGGTAGGCGATAACCCAGAAACGGAAAGGAGGGATAGGCCCGAAGGTGGGCTTGCAGGGCAAGCAAGTGTATTGCCCAGTGGAGGTGGGAGTGCACTAGCAGATGTCGGAGCTGTCTGGAAGCCTTTGGGGCTCCATACTTAGGGAGGTGTAGGTAATATATTGAAAAGAGGGGGTGGTGACCATCGAGGGATGCGGAGGTGATTGCGGAATATGGGGGCTCCAAGGTTAGTGAAGCAGGAGTGGAGATAGTCTGGAGGGATCGGAAGTGGTGGAAGTCGATGGCCATGGATGGATATGACAGAGGACAGTGCAACTGTCATTTGCTGTTTTGACATCCAGGACACCACTCCTCCTGAGAGAAGGAATGCATACCCTGAGATCGACTTGTGATTCAGTGTGTCATTGGCCCAGTCCACGTCAGTGTATCCAACCAGATCTTCTCCCCCAGCTGTGTACACAATCCCTCGATTCAGGGTCCCTGCAAGATACCTCATGATGTGCTTGATCCTGGCGATGTGATCTTCACCAAATGTGGATGCAAACGAGGCCAATGCCCTTACAGATGTGCAGATGTCTGGTCAGGTCCCTAATGCGGCATACATGAGTGACCCGATGGCTTCAAGGTAGGGGAATGAGGAAACTCTAGAGTGTTCTTCAGCCAATGCTGGTGTGAATCGTGCTCCAGCTGGTAGTGGGGTGGTGGTGGGCGTACAGCCAGTCATTTTGTATTGAGCAAGTATATCCTTGATGTATTTCGCTTGGTCAATGGATAGAGTTCCTGTGGCTATGTCTTGCTGGACATGGATTCCAAGTATCCATGAGGCTTCTCCATAGCTTGAGACTTTGAAGCGGGAGGCAATTGCATTCTGGATGGAAGAGAGCAGGTTCTCGTCGTTTCCAGCTAGAAGTTTGTCATCTACATATATGGGAATCATGATTGTTGAGGAGCCTCGTTTGAACACAAAGACAGAGTGTCAGAATGGGTCCGGTGAAAACCAAGGTGGATCAGGTAATCATGTAGTGTTGCATACCACTTCCATCCTGCTTGCTTCAATCCGTAAAGGCCCTTCTTCAGCTTGGCTGCCATGTGTTCCTTCCCCTTTTCCTCATATCCCTTCGGCTGTCCCATCTAAATATCTTCAGAGATCACCCCATTTAGGTAAGCAGATTTGATGTCCATCTGGTGAACCTTCCAACCATGTCGAGCACAGATGGCTAGAAAAACATGAAGAGAGGCAGATTTGACAATGGGGGCAAAAGTCTCGGAGTAGTCGATCCCTTCACACTGGCTGAAGCCTTGGGTGACAAGTTGTGCTTTGAAATGTGCGACTTTGCCATCCGCTCCTCGCTTCTTCATGAGCACAAAACGACAACCAATGATGTTCTGGATTGCAGAGGTCGGTTCCACTAGTTCCCACATGTCAGGGCACACCTGCCTGACCTGGCTCCACCCAGCTCCACCTGGGCCCACCCAGGCCCACCTCACCCGCTCCCCTGTTACCCATCCTTCTCCCTCCTCCTTCCTCCCTCTTCTCCTCCTTCTCTTTCTTCCCTTTTCTCTCTCTTCTCTTTCTCCTTTGTTTCATTCTCCCTTTCTGTTTATTCTTTCTATTTTACATGGACCACTTTCCTTTGTATCATTGTACTGTTACCCCATCCGGCTCAGACACCCCAGATGACATCCTGCTACACCTAGCATGCACACCTGCAGCGGACGCCCTTGGGATCCCCCATGGGGACACCCGGATGGCTGCAGCTCTCTCCGAGGGTGACATGGCACCCATCATGTGACCCAAGCCGCATGTACATAAATGCACCTGAAGTGGGAACTGAAGAAGTAACCTTCTTCTCACTTCAGGTAAGTAGTGTAGTTCTTCCTTTTAATGACAATTCACATTTTCCACTTCAGTCTAAGTGGCCAGGGAATACAGTCCCAGATCAGGCCCATCAGCATGCACACCCACTTCGCTCCCCAAGAGGGTCCCTCTGCTGGGCATTACATCTGGGCCCCCTCCACCCTGGACGTGTCCCTGACAGCAGAAGAAGGTTTCAACCTCGTCTCCCCTGCCTCCCCAGCCATGGTGTTGGAAGAGCAGTATGAGGAGCTGCTAGCTCGCTTCCAAGAGCTCCAAGCCATTGTGGAGAGCCAGGCCTGCAACCACCCCCCACCCCCACCTGCACCAGCACCTGCACCTGCGCCAGCGCCTGCGCCTGCACCTGCACCCAGACCCAAACCACCCAAGGTCACCCCCCCCACTCCCTTCTCAGGAGCCAGCGAGGACCTCGACTGCTTCAAGGCCGAGTGTGGGATTTACTTCCATGTTCGTGTGGCTGAATTCCCCACCACCCTCTCCCAAATCCTTTTCGTGTTGTCTTACATGAAAGGAGGACCCACAGGGGCATGGGCAATGTGTCAGGGCCCGGCCCCGGACCTGGAGGCTCCCCGACCCCAACCCCCATCTGGCCTGTCCTCACACTATGCGAGGCATGAGATGTATAGTAAAAGGAAGGGAATATATACACTTGCCTATGCGGAGCATGAGATGAGAAGAAGGGTAAAGGTCTCATCTTCCTGCATGGTTGCTATATAAAGGAATGGGTCACATGCCCACAACTATACAGCTCCTAGAGTTGTTGTCATATCCATCCCCAGCCATCGACTTCCGATCCCTCCGATTCCTCTGGTCTACCTCCGCTCCTTCTTCACTAACCTCAGAGCTCCTGTATTCCGCAATCCCCTTGGTACCCCTTGATGGTCACCACCCCCTCCTTTCAATTTATTACCTATGCCTCCCTAAGTATGGAGCCCTGAAGGCTTCCAGACAGCTCTGACGTCCGCTAGCGCATTCCTGCCTCTGCTGGGCAATACACTTGCTTGCCCTGCAGAGCCCACCTTCAGGCCTATCCCTCCTTTCCATTTCTGGGTTATCGCCTGCCTCTCCGTTAACCCCGTAACCCGACTCATCGGTAATATTCAATTGGCTAATGTTTAACCCCATTGGCTCGGCTCGGCTCGGCTCTGCCATTTGCGGACCTGCCTTCGCTGTAACTATATATACCCAACTTGTACATAGGTTACACTTCAGTAATAAAATCGACTAGAGTTATCCCCCTTCAGTTCTGGTTGCCAG